TGGGTTGATGCATGAGTAAGGACTATTAGCATATTAGTCTATAGTTCATTTCAGTGTAATAAAAACTTCAATATCATTTGGTTGTTTTGACTGATTTATTTTAGGAAAAAGGAAAATCCCCGAATGATAATTTTCTTAATGCACTAGATGTATTGAATAGGTAAGTAAAATTATTTTGTAGAGTTATTGCCCTTGATTTGTAATAACAAATTCCATGTTATTGTACTAGGTCTAAGGAATTTAGTTAGCTTGCATGTTTTTCATCAATATTTGGCACTTTGACCAATATACCAGATCTACATTTGGGTCATCTTTCTTTCAACTGAAGGCTGTCCTTGCAAAATTTCTCTCTTTGCACACTGTATGGCATGGTCTGTCTTCATTTTCCCAATTCGGTGCAGAAAAGCAGGATGTAAAATTCTATTCATTTTGTTTTCTTTTCATCCAAAAGATTTAATTCAAAATTCCTGCATTGCAGTCACTGAAGACAATAAATTTCGTAGAATTGCAGGAACCACAGATGTCTGATTGAAAATTGGAATGGTGTAAATTGATGCTATCAGTGTCCCTGATACACATAAAAAATTTACAATCTCTTTAACCATTGAAATATTTATTATTATAGAAATAATGTGTCAACATTAGAGAAAGCTTTAGAGATAGCCAAGAAACAGTTGGTAGCTGTAGTCAATCAGGTTCAGACATTTCTAGACATGCATCAGGTCATTTCAGCTGGTCCTTTTCTTTATAGTTTTATACAGGAGGTAGGTTATTTACCTTTCAACACACCAGATATCTTTCAGCTTCAAGGGACTTTGTCTCCTCAATTCCCCTACAGAAGTTTAACGCAAGGGCCCAGCCAATTTGTCCCCACGACATCCTGTGACCATCCCTACCTAAAAATAAAAGGGTTAGTCTTAGCTAACCCTGGGTCCTTATTTTCGAAAACTTAACTCAAGATGATTATAATCATCCTGTCATCTGATTGGTCAATCACTAAAATTGATTTAAAATTTAGTTTTGTTATCCAATCAGATTACTGTATTTCTTATAATCTGGTTTTTATTTAAATTAAGTTTTAATAAGGCCCCTAGTGTATATGAAATTACAGGATACTCATCTACAGCTTCTGTATTGGGCTGGCCATGATGGGCAATGGCATGTATTGTGCAAAGAAATATATTTTGACAGGGGTGTGAGCATGACTCGAGATTGTATTTACAGTAGTATGATTGGTTAATAAAAGCTAACTTTGATTTCAAATTTTATAGACTAAGACACAATATATTTTCATGATTAGAGAAGAAAATAGTATATATATATATTATTGTAGGGTATTGGATTTGTAAAATATAGACGCCGTGTGAATAAGGTCGATTTATAAACTGTGTAGATAGCTTATGTCTGATAGAATATTTATTGTTGTAGGGTATTGGAGATGTAAAATATAGACGACACTTGAATAAGGTCTATATCAATATTATTAAATATTAATGAATATTTATTGTTGTAGGGTATTGGAGATGTAAAATATAGACGACACTTGAATAAGGTCTATATCAATATTATTAAATATTAATGAATATTTATTGTTGTAGGGTATTGGAGATGTAAAATATAGACGACACTTGAATAAGGTCTATATCAATATTATTAAATATTAATGAATATTTATTGTTGTAGGGTATTGGAGATGTAAAATATAGACGACACTTGAATAAGGTCTATATCAATATTATTAAATATTAATGAATATTTATTGTTGTAGGGTATTGGAGATGTAAAATATAGGCGACACTTGAATAAGGTCTATATCAATATTATTAAATATTAATGAATATTTATTGTTGTAGGGTATTGGAGATGTAAAATATAGACGACACTTGAATAAGGTCTATATCAATATTATTAAATATTAATGAATATTTATTGTTGTAGGGGAGATGTGAAATATAGACGACACTTGAATAAGGTCTATATCAATATTATTAAATATTAATGAATATTTTTTGTTGTAGGAGATGTAAAATATAGACGACACTTGAATAAGGTCTATATCAATATTATTAAATATTAATGAATATTTATTGTTGTAGGAGATGTAAAATATAGACGACACTTGAATAAGGTCTATATCAATATTATTAAATATTAATGAATATTTTTTGTTGTAGGGAGATGTGAAATATAGACGACACTTGAATAAGGTCTATATCAATATTATTAAATATTAATGAATATTTATTGTTGTAGGGAGATGTGAAATATAGACGACACTTGAATAAGGTCTATATCAATATTATTAAATATTAATGAATATTTATTGTTGTAGGAGATGTAAAATATAGACGACACTTGAATAAGGTCTATATCAATATTATTAAATATTAATGAATATTTATTGTTGCAGGGTATTGGAGATGTAAAATATAGACGACACTTGAATAAGGTCTATATCAATATTATTAAATATTAATGAATATTTATTGTTGTAGGGTATTGGAGATGTGAAATATAGACGACACTTGAATAAGGTCTATATCAATATTATTAAATATTAATGAATATTTATTGTTGTAGGGTATTGGAGATGTGAAATATAGACGACACTTGAATAAGGTCTATATCAATATTATTAAATATTAATGAATATTTATTGTTGTAGGGTATTGGAGATGTAAAATATTTCTCTAGACCACAATGTTTGACACGACTGGCTAGATTTACTCTAGAGGCTCACTGTTCAGTAGTAAGTTAAATTATATTACAAAATTATAACTCAAACTTCAGTTAAAATCTATATAAAATAGTGTGCAACCTATAAAACAGGGCAACTACTCTATAAAAAGTAAAAAGTTAGTAAAAGTTTATGTATTTGGTGAGCTAATGAATGCCAATGTCTTGCTGTATGCAATGAGGTAATATTTGTGAGTGCTAATGTACCAATTCTCCTACCAGCAGGACTGTATCTTCACAATGTCAAGCTATTACAAACTTCATCTTCACAATGTCAAGCTATTACAAACTTCATCTTCACAATGTCAAGCTATTACAAACTTCATCTTCACAATGTCAAGCTATTACAAACTTCATCTTCACAATGTCAAGCTATTACAAACTTCATCTTCACAATGTCAAGCTATTACATACTTCATCTTCACAATGTCAAGCTATTACAAACTTCATCTTCACAATGTCAAGCTATTACAAACTTCATCTTCACAATGTCAAGTTATTACAGACTTCATCTTCACAATGTCAAGCTATTACAGACTTCATCTTCACAATGTCAAGCTATTACAAACTACATCTTCACAATGTCAAGTTATTATTAACTTACATCTTATACCTTGACTACAATAGCCACCTTTCTTGTGTAAATATCTCGAAATGCAACAATTTGATTGGCTTTTACATCAGTAAATACAGCCAATCATAGCCTTCGACATAAAGACTGTAAAAGCTTGACCATTGTGAAGATAGATCTCTATGTAGATCTGATCTACTATTGTGCTCCATATTTTAATTTACAGAGTGTTTGTTCATTTGTTTGGTTACGTCTAGAAAACAATGGTTGGGGCTCCGATCTCGATCGAGGTGTGAAAGTCTGATGACCTTGAATAAGTCATCTTCACTCATAATTCCAGTCGACCGAGCTATAAATAGGTACAGATAATACGAGAAAGATCAATGCCAAGAGGTTTGGCCAAGGACCAGCTGGTAGAAAGGATCCTTAACTGCGAACCTAAGTCATCCTTGGCCTATACACAGCATAATTCAATATTTTATCTATTGTTTCAGAGCAGAAGTAAGAAAGCTAAATCCTTACCACTAGTATTAGGAGCCCCGCTAGACCTTGAACAGGGCACTATTTTAATTATTGGTATTCCTCCATTGGAACTTGATGATGAGAGAAAAAAGTAAGTTTATCAGGAAAATCCAGAGTATATTAGATAATTTTTTATTTACAGCCTTGTGCAAAATTCCACTTTGCAAGTAATAATATAATGAATTACTGTACTATTGTGAAAATAATACACACTCTAATTATTACCCTCCAATAATTCTAGAAAAATCTCCACCAATAACTTGCCATTACAAAAGATATGCAATAAAATATGATAAGAACAAGCTTCAGATCTTTTGAGAAAATGGTGACAGAGGGTCTATTGATTTTAGAAGAGTTAATATATAATACTTGTTCATGTCAACATGTTATTCTTCCTTTCCAGTTTTTTTGGTAAAGCGTTTGAACAAGCAGCATTAAATACCAGTTCTAGAACATTACATGATCATTTTGACTCCCACAGTAAGTTAGAAATATTTTTGTATACTCTTGGGTAGCCTTACTGATTATAAAATACAGCTTCTTATCATCTCATAGTATTGTTTTTTGTGGGTGTGTTGAATGAACAATTAGAACCAAACTGTTCTGAGATTTTCTGTGAAAGGGTGTTAAAACTAATAATTCAGTGATCTGTTTCATTTCTTTAATATATTTTTTAATATGTCACTTAACTATTTTAGTGATGGAAATGAAAACAGAAGACAGAAGTAAATTTTTTGATGCTTTGATAAATTTGATGCAGTAAACAAGATGAAGGGAAAACACACTTACTAAAAATAACCCCTCAAGCTTTGGACAAAGATTACAGCTAAAACATGATAACTGTCACTTTTTAAAAATATTTATTAATATTCTACAAGATACAAGTACATGTACAATATTGCCCATGGAGTCTATTTTCATTGGCTCTCATGCCATAGTGATCACCAGTTGCGATCGATAGGTACTCATGACCACTATCATTATTTACAACCATACAGCAACTGATATAGATTAGTCCTAAAGTTAATCTGGTGGAGATCTGAAGGCTCAGAATTCATATAAAAACATCAAAAGTTAGCCCTCACTGCTATGTATATAATCATATGTAAATTATATGTAAATATATTCATAAATATTGTAAATAAAGGTTTTTGTATCCATATGAACGCTCTTTTCCATTATTTTTACTTCAGTATACAGAGGTTTTTAGTTTTATAAAATTCTTAACGGGTATTTATTACATCAAGGGAGATAATAAGATCTATTATACGCCCACATCTCACCCTTTTCGGTACATCTGTCGTTTACATTTATTTTAGAAAACGACAATCTATTTGTCAACCGATTTCGACAATAAAAAAAATTATGTGCAAACGTTATTCTAGAATTAACTGGAGTTCAAATTTTAACAGTCTCCGAAAATTAACCCTCGAGATATTAAACCATTTGATCTATATAAATATATTAAAAATAGTTTACTTGAATTTTAAGTTAGACTGCCCTTGAAAAGAAATGTTTAATACAATGAATGTCTTCTATCTATTGTAAGATGAAGGCAAAAAAAACATAAAACAATATTTAAACAAAATTCATTTCTGTACAATTTATATAATTTTCATAATACATAATGTATTGTCCCAAATACAAGTCATCTTCACAATGACAAGCTATTACCTTGACTACAACAGTTACCTTCTTTCTCGTATTAAATCTTCACAATGTCAAGCTATTACCTTGACTACAACAGTTACCTTCTTTCTCGTATTAAATCTTCACAATGTCAAGCTATTACCTTGACTACAACAGTTACCTTCTTTCTCGTATTAAATATTCACAATGTCAAGCTATTACCTTGACTACAACAGTTACCTTCTTTCTCGTATTAAATCTTCACAATGTCAAGCTATTACCTTGACAACAACAGTTACCTTCTTTCTCGTATTAAATCTTCACAATGTCAAGCTATTACCTTGACTACAACAGTTACCTTCTTTCTCGTATTAAATCTTCACAATGTCAAGCTATTACCTTGACTACAACAGTTACCTTCTTTCTCGTATAAAATCTTCACAATGTCAAGCTATTACCTTGACTACAACAGTTACCTTCTTTCTCGTATTAAATCTTCACAATGTCAAGCTATTACCTTGACTACAACAGTTACCTTCTTTCTCGTATTAAATCTTCACAATGTCAAGCTATTACCTTGACTACAACAGTTACCTTCTTTCTCGTATTAAATCTTCACAATGTCAAGCTATTACCTTGACTACAACAGTTACCTTCTTTCTCGTATCAAATATTGACAATGTCAAGCTATTACGAACTTTGTCTAATACCTCAAAAATGCGAAGATCCATCTTTAAATCTGATTTTTGTTTATGACTAGCCCACAGACTTGACCTAAAACATCAGTTTCATCTTTTTACGTTTCATTTTTTTAACGAGCTCTGTCACACAGTACATCGTCATTTGTTTCGCATCCTTGATTTCCTGGCGTTGTCCCCAAACAATTGTATGGGCCCTATCTATCCATCTTCACCATGCCAAGCTATTGCAAACTTCATCTTATACCTTGACTTCAATAACACCCTTTCTTGCATTTAGGAAGCTTACAAATGTAGCGATTTAATTGAATTCTACGCAAGCGAATACAGCCAATCAGAGCCTGCGACAGAAAGTCTGTTTATAGACACTATAATGTTTACAATCTTTCTATCGAGGGCTCTGATTGGCTGTATTCGTTTGCGAACAATCAGATCAAATGGATGCATTCCGTGATACAAGATATAAGTTGGTAATAGCTTGACACTGTGAAGACGAAGTTGGTAATAGCTTGACACTGTGAATACGAGTTTGGTAAAAGCTTGACATTGTGAATACGAGTTTGGTAATAGCTGGACATTGTGAAGATGTAGTTTGTAATAGCTTGACATTGTGAAGATGAAGTTGGTAATAGCTTGACATTGTGAAGATGAAGTTGGTAATAGCTTGACATTGTGAAGACGAAGTTGGTAATAGCTTGACATTTTGAAGACGAAGTTGGTAATAGCTTGACATTGTGAAGACGAAGTTGGTAATAGCTTGACATAGTGAAGATGTAGTTTGTAATAGCTTGACATTGTGAAGATGTAGTTTGTAATAGCTTGACATTGTGAAGATGTAGTTGGTAATAGCTTGACATTGTGAAGAAGAAGAAGTTGGTAATAGCTTGACATTGTGAAGATGAAGTTTGTAATAGCTTGACTTTGTGAAGAAGAAGAAGTTGGTAATAGCTTGACATTGTGAAGATGAAGTTGGTAACAGCTTGACATTATGAAGATGAAGTTGGTAATAGCTTGACATTGTGAAGATGTAGTTTGTAATAGCTAGACTTTGTGAAGATGAAGTTGGTAATAGCTTGACATTGTAAAGATATAGTTTGTAATAGCTTGACATTGTGAAGATGTAGTTTGTAATAGCTTGACATTGTGAAGATGTAGTTTGTAATAGCTTGACATTGTGAAGATGTAGTTTGTAATAGCTTGGCACTGTGGAGATGAAGTTGGTAATAGCTTGACACTGTGAAGAAGAAGTTGGTAATAGCTTGACATTGTGAAGATAAAGTTTGTAATAGCTTGACATTGTGAACATGAAGTTGGTAATATCTGGACATTGTGAAGACGAAGTTGGTAATAGCTTGACATTGTGAAGATGTAGTTTGTAATAGCTTGACATTGTGAAGATGAAGTTGGTAATAGCTTGACATTGTGAAGATGAAGTTTGTAATAGCTTGACATTGTGAAGACGAAGTTGGTAATAGCTTGACATTGTGAAGACTGAATGTGACTTACTTTCTACCTGTCTATAGAGTGTTTTCTGATGTTTTCCCCCTTTGTGTTCATTTAAATACTTTTAATGGTAAGTTTCCAGGTGAATTAAAACATCTTTAAGGTATATCTTTATTACAATCTATTTACTCGATTAATGTTTTTACATCATTTTAAACAACAGTTAAGCTTCACTACCCACAGTAAAAAGGAATGTATTTTCTTTGCAAAGTATATTTTATGCTCCTCTACTCTAATAAAAGGGACAGATTCGCCATTTTTAGGCGGTTGGTTTGAAAGTACTACAAATGTTTGAAAATCACATAATTTCTTCAAAAATATCTTAAACTAGGAATTACGTTTCCTGTTTCACATGGAAACAGAAGGCTCAAAATTTGACGGTGAGCTGTGAAAACTATGACGGATTAGCTAAGCTAAAAATATTCCCGTTTCTTAGACTAAAGTATGATTGGCGCAGCTGTCTCTATAAGATACAGATCTCGATATGTCGTGTTTTCTCAGTGGTCATTCATAATCTGAAAAAATTATATAATGTATCCCCTATCTAGGTCATTGAAATATTCAGCCAATCAAATTATCTGTCAAAGATATTTTGTAAGATGAAGGCAGGTTAGTTTAGTCAGTCACAGACGAAAAAATGAAACGAAATATAAGATTTACTTAAATCAGATTTATTCGATCAGCTTTACACTTCTTAAGCCTTATTCTTGAAAATTTAACTTAAGATGATTTTAGTGTTCCAGTCATCTAATTGGTCAATATAAATTGATTTTAAATTTAGTTGTATTATCCAATCAGATAACTGTATTTCTTAAAATTTGAATTTTATTTTAGATAGGCCCCAGGTTTCAAGATACCCCAGACCAAAATTCCTGTACACGAGTCGACAATATGTTATTCTTTCTTATTAGACCATATCATTATTCTGGTATGTTTTATTCTCTCATCATTTCATCTGATGATGACAAGTGTAATTTGTGTTGAAACGTTGTGTGTTGAATATTTTATTAAAGAAGTGTGTTATACCATCATATTATCTTATGTTTGTGATAATTATTCTTTCCCAGTTCAACTATTTATTAATAATATCAGAAATATGTTCATTCTGTATTTTTCTAAACCGATTAGTCTAATTAATCCACGCCTCGTGATTGATTGGTGACATTTATTATAGATATAGTCGTTTAAATATTTGCTCAGCTAACAGAGGCCGATTTCAGATATCCCCCCCCCCCAAAAAAAAAAAAAATCCCACCGCTCCCCTCTCTTAAATACAAGTAAACGTTTATTGTAAAGTATGGAAAAAAGTGTTATTCAACGTGTACGAGAATGTAATTTTTTGATTGGTTATCATAAAGTGCAATATAAGGTGTGTTGATGTTCAGAATGGAATTTTGACGCCCTGTTCGTCAATAATTGAATACAAATGCCAATTGAGCAAGGTCAGAGTTAGTAGGGAGCCTATGCCAAGATATGAATAATAAATAACAATGTTATTTTGATAAAATTGTTCATGAGTGTTTGTTTAGCTCCGGGGTTTTTAAATATCTTCTTTTTATGTCTTAAGTCAGTAACGTAACGCTTCAATGCATAATATTTTAACCCTTGTACGACCGAACAGACTAATGGAATGAGGTTTAACGACCCAACGTTTTGCAGTTTACAACCAGGGAAATTTACCAGGAAGCGACATTCGCATCTTTTCTTATTTTCTTTCCGTATTTGTCGAAGAATCTTTCTTTTGCACTGCCAAAGCGCATCGGTTTATTTTCCAAAAACGACACGCTTGATCTGCCTTGTTGTTCCGGGATCCGGAATCCAAAATCTGAAGGTACATATATATCGAATCTCGATCGAGGCCTACACGACCCTGGACCCCAATACAATCACCTTACTCATTACTCTCGAACCCCTTGTACTTTTCCACCAGCCCCACCCCGCTACAGAAAGATGCTCAAACATTAACATTATTGCATAGTGTATATTTCAAATAATTTATTATAAAATTTTTTCCTACAAAAAACTGGTTACGCCTGTTTTCGACGTGATGGTCCATACAAGAATTTATAATTATCTCGCGTGGGATGTGACCTAATTACAGTCTGTATTGTTATTCTTGAATGATATATTAATACGATAAAACTCTTCTTATGGGAAAAATTGGTTATAAATCACGACTATACCTCATACGAAGTTATTTGGAGAAAGTGAAGTGGGGTCCCGTAAGGGACGTCCTATCATCCAGTTTCTCTTTGTCCACGTACAGCTTCGACGAAAGGTGCTGGTCATAGATAAAATCTGGGCGTCGGAGACTACAATGATCAAAACTCTTCTCTGCAAATAAACTATTTACATGTGTTGATATTTTTGTTGAAAATTTTGATTGATTTAACTAAAAGTGATCGCCGATTATATTATAAATATTGATGTACTTACTGTCCAACTGTTAAAGTCTATATCTCATTACAATATTTATGATATAAAGTTTTTATTATTGATATAATTATGTTGGGGCAGAAGGCATGACTTCCACCAAAAAAACAAAAAACAAAAAACAAAAAACCTTCAATTTTTGTACCTTAGGTACTTAAACTATATTATCCAATTATGATTTAAAATGTGTAATTGAGCCTCAAACGAAACTATTCGTCGTTCTGTGGCGTTTCTAGAAAACATCAGGTGAGAGGGCCATTAAATTTTCCAGGGGGCCACAGGACATTCTTTCGGGATTTTATACCTACTGGACTTGTAACTAGGTCAGGCGCGTAGTTTCGTTTGAAAGGAACTTTAAGAAGTTTTTGGGTCAACGAAGTGAGTGGATGATGGTTCAGTGGGCATGAAAGGGACTCCCTCTGTTTAGTATCTAATTAACCCTAGCCCTCTACTCTACCTGGATGAGAGATCACAGGTAACATCAGTTTCAAGGTGTGAAATCACTGATGTTCACATCTTTCTTATCTTTTATAAAAAGAAAAACAAAAACAATCGGCCATCCTCGGCAATTTCCGTAAATCTGAATATCATTCGGCAATTCTTGACAGTTTCCGTAAAACTGAATATCATTCGGCAATTCTCGACAGTTTCCGTAAAACTGAATATCATTCTGCAATTTTCGACAGTTTCCTTTCAAAGCAGAACTATCAAGGTAGAACGTTTGTTCTTAGGTCTATCCTTTATAAAACAAACACAAACAACAACAAAAAAACAATCGGCCATTCTCGACAGTTTCCGTTAAGCTGAAAATATAGATTTGAAAAAATGGTTTGTACCCTCTGATAAATTCGGATAAATTTGAAAATATGATTTTTTATAAATTTTGTCCCAAAATAAGTGTCAAAACGCACTAAACCAATTATATTTTTCAAAATTTTTCTTGGCGATCCATGGGAGGCTTTGGCCCATGAGCTTCAACTTATTTGACGCATTTTGAATCTCAGCCGCGAAAGTCCCCAATTAAGTCCAACGAGAGTTTCACGGCTGAGAGTATGTACGAGGCAAAGTTGGACAAAGTTATTCTGCTTTTCGGTATCAATCCAGGTAAAAATTAGAGGGAAACCGTCACTTCAATTTAAATCACTCAAATATTGACACTCTATCCGCCTATTTACATTAAAACGGGTGTACAGGGCGAGGTCGATTATTACATTGAACGGTGATATATTTCAGACAGTTTCACCACCAAACAGGCCATGTAAGGTAGTTTTTCCCAGGTACACCGTTCAATATCCGTATTGCTAAAAGTCTATATCGCTCTAAAATTGATGTATTGAGCACTATTTTAACAGTAGTATTTCTATATCTCTTTACAGTTGATATATTGAGCACTATTTTAACAGTGGTATTTCTATATCACTCTACAATTGATATATTGAACACTATTTTAACAGTGGTATTTCTATATCGCTTTACAATTGATGTATTGAGCACTATTTTAACAGTGGTATTTCTATATTACTCTACAATTGATGTATTGAGCACTATTTTAACAGTGGTATTTCTATATCACTCTACAATTGATGTATTGAGCACTATTTTAACAGTGGTATTTCTATATTACTCTACAATTGAAGTATTGAACGCTATTTTAACAGTGGTATTTCTATATCGCTCTACAATTGATGTATTGAGCACTATTTTAACAGTGGTATTTCTATATCACTCTACAATTGAAGTATTGAACGCTATTTTAACAGTGGTATTTCTATATCTCTTTACAGTTGATATATTGAGTACTATTTTAACAGTGGTATTTCTATATCTCTTTACAGTTGATATATTGAGCACTATTTTAACAGTGGTATTTCTATATCACTCTACAATTGATGTATTGAGCACTATTTTAACAGTGGTATTTCTATATCACTCTACAATTGAAGTATTGAACGCTATTTTAACAGTGGTATTTCTATATCACTCTACAATTGAAGTATTGAGTACTATTTTAACAGTGGTATTTCTATATCACTCTACAATTGATGTATTGAGCACTATTTTAATTGTGGTATTTCTATATCACTCTACAATTGAAGTATTGAACGCTATTTTAACAGTCGTATTTCTATATCACTCTACAATTGATATATTGAACACTATTTTAACAGTGGTATTTCTATATCGCTTTACAATTGATGTATTGAGCACTATTTTAACAGTGGTATTTCTATATTACTCTACAATTGATGTATTGAGTACTATTTTAACAGTGGTATTTCTATATCTCTTTACAGTTGATATATTGAGCACTATTTTAACAGTAGTATTTCTATATCGCTTTACAATTGATATATTGAGCACTATTTTAACAAAGGTATTTCTATATCGCTTTGACCAGCCCCTAGACCCCAACCCCAGGCAGATTGGACCCTCGCCTCGGAAAGACCACATTTCATTTTTGTCCCCCCACCCCTCTCTCTCTGTCTCTAGCATTTTCACGTCACTAAAAGAAAATAGTACTATTTTTAAAGAATGTTTATTTTGAAAAAGTTCGGAATAAAAAATAAAAATCTAATAAAATATACTATACAGCTTCAGATATGTACAAATTAGTAAAGGTTTAATTTAGAGGAGAATCTATAGAGAATTAGGCTATTGAGTCACAATGGTTGAAATTTGGTCCAAAAATACAATTTATGTGGATAGGTCAGATCATGACACATCTTTACATATGTAAATAGGTCAGATCATGACACATCATTACATATGTAAATAGGTCAGATCATGACACATTAGAACCATTGTGATTTCTAGGATTGTTGACGATAATTTGAAATGCCTGTCAACTCACGAGAGCTTCATATATAGCATTTAAACATTCATCATCAATTTACACTACATTAAAGGAGAGGAAATGATAAAAAAGGTATAAAATTATGAACGGAAGAAAAAGGCAATGGCGGCGATTATCAAACTACCAAAAATAGAAGCCTGGATAGCACTGGCTGAAAATAGAAAATAAAACAAATGAAACTGAAGTGATCAAATTGTGACAAGTGGCAATTTCGATAATTTTCAGCCATATTTTATCGTTTTAAAATCAGATGTTTGAAATAGACAAAAGATCAAGGTCATGTTAACGATAAAGGTCAAGGTAGCTTGAGGACTGGCGTTACAATTTCATCTAAACCTTCAAATCACATCATTATGGGACAAGGTTGCTTGAATATATTTAAATAGCCTTCGAAACACAAGAAATGTACGAAAATCGCATAATTCCTTTAAAAATATCTAAACTGGGAATTTAACGTTCTATTTCTATTTTTGTTTTTTTATAAATCACACAATATCTTAAAATGACGAGTCGTCATTTTACCATTCAAAAGCAGATGATTCCGGACACATGGATTTGAAGGCTCAAATTTCGACGGTGAGCTGTGAACACTATTACTGATTTAGGTTTCAAAAAAAATTCCCGTTTCTGAGACTAAAGTATGATTGGTCAAATAAAATGGCTCCTCTGTCTCTTTAAGTTTTATAAATGTCTTTAATGTGATTTATAGTAAGATCACATCTGATCACGTCTGGGGAACGGTGTGGCAGATTTTTAAGACTTAATAAATTATCTTGAATAAACAGACATATCTTACCTCCGCAGCCATGTACTTTTGATGCAGCTTTTACGGCTAGTTTTGCGGATTCGATTCCGAGTGCGTTACATAAACCATCTTGTTCAGTACTTTGAGCCAAAACACATTTTTCCCATTCAGCTACAGCCCTGAAAATAATTACAAAAGACTTACAGGAAATATAAAAACAGAATTTTATCACGTTGTTACTCAGAGTTGTCTGAAGATACCCCCCCCCCCCCCCCCCCCTCCTTTGAAAAAATTCAAACAAGCGACCACTTCCACTACAACTGAACACCATACACCATTGCCCTCTGGATATATTACTTGTCACTCCCAACAATCAAGTCTGGCTTCGGTCCTGGGAACCAGAGATTGAAAATTTGAATGATATGAAGTGACACTATCAGTGTTCCAGATAAACCTTTTTACGGTCTCTTTAATATTTCTCGGCCTCTCTGAATCGTATTGGTGGAAGATCGCGAATACCTACGTAAAATGCCGAAGACAACTAGTCTCAGACACAGGGACAAAGAGGTACTAGTAGTTCCCAACCCTTCTTAGCCTTCAAACCCCTGGAGCAATTACCTGGATCTTCCACATCCCAAAAATTTGTTACATCCACATTTCCAGCATGTGATGATGTGAGGTGCTCTCTCAATTCAAAATAAATTCTTCTCCTACACCAGTTGGCCACACCCCTGACACCCTAGTCCCACACCCCCAGGGGATGAAACCACACCCCTGACACCCTAGTCCCACACCCCCAAGGGGATGAAACCACACCCCTGACACCCTAGTCCCACACCCCCACGGGATGAAACCACACCCCTGAAAACTCACCAGGTTGGGAACCGAGAAACTAAATGATTCCAAGAAATGGAACCGATTTGACAGAAAATCACAACAATCTAGGAATAATAACTTACACACAAGTTTCCTTGGTGGAATCTCTATACGTGTTACCACAATCCACTAGATGGCACTCATTGGCATTGGCAGCTAAACCAACAGCAATGATGGCTGAAAATAGCAGAACATACATATTGATGAACATGATAAGGACCTTGACTCTTCAGAACATGTTTTAATAGTCATCGTTTAATGGTCTGTCAGCGGTGGGTCAGTGAGTTAGGATGTGAGTGTGGTGTCCGATCAGGGCATGGTAGAGTATTCAACCTGAATTCATCTTGTGTTTGATACACGTTTGAGTGACAGACCCGGGTGTCAATGGCTAGTTTGGGGCAATAAACTGAGAGCTCGTCTGATACAGTCTGTGTACGTTACAATATCTCACTAGGTTTGGAAAGCAACAAATGAAACCGTTCGGACTAAATTTCCCTCAATGCACACTGCATGGCAATGTCAGTCTTCATTATCCCAAGTTGCAGGAAAGTAGGAATTCGAGATATTTATTTTCTTATTTTGGGTGTCACTGGTAATTTTTCTATTTATAAGTCTATTATCATTAGGAAGAGAAGAGTAAGATGTAAAACTCCATTTCGCTTCCGTGTCGTACACTTGCCATTTGTTTCAACCTTTTTTACCTCGATTACGTGATTTAACAAAAGAAACACCCCTTTGTTATCAACAAGCTTTGTCGTAATTTTTCACACTGAAGTAAACATGTTTTAAATCATGAGAGACAGTCTGATTTTTTTAGTAGGTTGAAATAGTTAGGTGCTCGAGTACTTATACTGGTTTTACTGGTATTAATGCGATGAGTAATAAAGTCAATATTGTATATCACGTGACGTTATTAACTAGTGGTTCAACAACCACAGACACTCGTTAGACCAAGTCCACGGCCCTCACCCCTAGGGGAACCCCGACCCCGACCCCAGAAAAAAACGACATTAGATGAGTACAATAGCAAGACTGAAAATATTTAAATCTTCCAATAACAGACATTAAAAAGATTTACAGATTGCAGGACAGTATATCTTTAAAAATATCCCTGGGGGAGTGGCCCCAACCCACTTATGTCCACGGACCCCCACACATCTTCTTGACCCACCGTTTGGTATATAGTCTGACCATTGACAATCTGATTCATATTAAATTACAATTTCCTTTTGTTTTATGATATTTTTTTTATCTCCATTGTCCAAAAAGAATATTAACAAAAACGAAACGAAATTGTAATCTTATTTTCATTAAATGGATGGCTATAAGCTTGTTATTTGACTTGGACTGAAAATATCTCCCCTAATTCAATAATATCTTGGTCGAAATAAGATATTCAGTCATTTATTTAAACGTGCTAAGTTAAATACTTTGAGAAGAAAAACCAGTTTCTCATCGTGACAAAATATATTAATATGCTAAATAAACCAGTTCGTCCACAATATACAACAGAGGATAACCCTCGTAAATAGTGAAGGTCGAGCGAACCAAAAGTCGGTCAGTACAAAGAAAAGAAAGCGAAAACGATCATTTTTTACACGGATAACTGTCACAAGGATCCTTTCTGCCAGCTGGCCCTTGGCCAATCCTTTTGGCATTGATCTTTCACGGATTATCAGTACCCATTTATAGCTCGGCGAGTTGAATAATGAGAAAAGATAACTTATTCAACATCACCAGATTTTCACACACTGATGTATGGCGTAGCGAGGCAAATGACATCATTTAAAGATTTCAACACTGTAACCGATTGTGCTACAACCGATCATCAAGGATAATTGTTCACATCGAAATTCCAAACACGATCTGTTTGTTCAATTGGGAGAATAAGCTATATGAAATAAATAGAGTTTTACGCCCTACTGCTCTTGGGTAACGACTGAAGTGCGCAATGATGGAAAAATTTGCCAGGATAGGGCCGGATATTAGCTTAGCCTATATACTTCTTTTGAAATTGCCATCTTCTCTTTCTGGAGTAATTATAGGGTTATTACAAACTGTATACAAGTTTTTATTGTTGTACATGTGTTATTTGTAGTTATGTATTTTCATGCGGGCTCAATGTTAGAAAGGCATAGTGCTAATTGATTACCCAATAAAGAAATTATTATTATTATTATCGACGAGAAACTTTTTATCGAGGATCTTACCAAGGGCTCTCAGATGTAGCTTTACGGAAACTGCCGAGGATTGCCGAATGGGTTTTCACCTTTCCTTTCTACATTATTCAAATGTAATTTTCATATTCACATTGTGTAGTCCCCTAGTGCCAAATAAAGTTTATATATTTAGTGTTAATATGATGATACAAACAAGAAAACCACCTGACTCAGTGATCGCGACTAAAAGATGATATTTCTATATTTTTTAATGAAGAAACAGATGTATATTATCGGTTGCTAAGGCGACGCTAATTTTGAGTTTTAGTTAAAACCAATTTATCACTAGTAGGCCAGGTATATCATAAATTATTGCCAAATTTTCATTAAAGATACTGTTTTCTATATGTCTTTAAGTTTGTTTATTTCTTGGAAAAGGCGTCTAGTAGTTCTTAGGGCATTATGAATCAAGACCCCGTGTGCTACAGGCTCTGCACGTTAAAGATCCCTCGACAGTTGGAAATAAAAAAGAGCGGGCCTATGCCGCTGTCTTAGCAAATTGTTTCTCGTTGCACACTGCATATCGTTGCCCGACCTCATTAGTCCAAAACTGTTTAGAGAGTAGTGTGTAAAATCATTTCTTTCATTGATTCATTCATTCTAAAACCATGAGACAAATTATAAAACTAATATTGTGATATAATACTGGCCCGTAGGCGATCATTGATAAATTGTTTGTACCATTTTTAGAACTTCGTCATAAAATACGCCCTATCTATCATTCACAGCCTTGACAATGATAAATACTGATTCTATTTCTATTAACTTTTAATGAAACGAGTTTTACACCCAGTCTGTTTGACCTATTTGGACTAAAAAAAAGAAATTGAGTTCTACATCTTAAAATTCTGTAGCTTTTTGTGTATGAAATGGAATTGGAATGGAATCCTAAAGTTCTGGAAATTGTTGAGCTAATGGAATAGAGTTTTACATCCTTCGGTTCTCATTTGACCAGTGGTTAGAGTAGTTAGAAATTATATGGAGGGCAAATCCTATGCTTCAAAAATTCATTGGGCATATAATTTGCACTATCAAGCCAAATGTTTAAAGGTACGCCATTTTTTGAACAAGCGTACCTTAATATCAGAAACGGGAGTATTTTATTTGACCAATCATACTTTAGTCCCAGAAACGGGAATTTTTTTTGAAACCTAAATCAGTAATACTGATCACAGCTCATCATCGAAATTTGAACCTTCAAATCTATGTGTGGCGAGAAACGACTCGTCATTTTGAGATACTCTGTGATATATAGAAAAGATATATAGAAATAGAAAGAGAAATTTCTAGTTTGAAGTATTGTATGAAGTAATTATGCGATTTTCTTACATTTCTAGTACTTCTGAAGACTATTTACATAATATTCAAAGACTCAAATCAACCACCAAAAATGGCACAACTGTCCCTTTAAGACACATTTGAGGTATAAGATCTGATAGCCGTTAATTAGCGAGTAATTGTTAACTAAAGATTGTTGATATGATATATTCTGGAATGTTTTACTGGGCCATTTTGAAACCTTGCAGTCAGCGAGCTCGATTTAAAACTTAATACTAAAACTGTTGGCTTATATTGATTCTGCGCAGTAATACCCCTCAATTCACCAACACAGCGCAGTAATAAGCCTACGTATACACACCCAAAACCGAAGATAGATTCTTTATCGCACGCAACCTCAGTTATTGAATATTCATATATATATTCCGTAAATTTGATTGGCTGAGCTTCTAATTTGCATAAAGCTTCAACATTTTTTTGCCCGGATATTTCTTCATTTCACGAGCGAAATCGCAATTTTATTCTTCGGAAATATTCCAAATCCCCCAACCCCTCCCTTCCACTTAAAAAAATTACTCTTTCAGGCGGCTACTGAAAAGTTTTTACATGACAATTTGTATTAAATAAACATATTTCGAAATTTCAGATTTTTCGAAAATTCGAAATAAAGGTTTGATTTTGTTACAAAGTAATCTTTCAACGGTAAAATATCTATTTTAGAGAATCGTGGAATAAAGTTTTATCAATTAAACTAAAAACTGAAACTTTGCCAAATTTCTTAGATGCCAAAACACGACCCACTAGAACAGATGTAAACTATAAATATGAAAGTAGGTTGAAATGGTGGAATATTGTAAATAGCTACAATGAACGAATAAAATAACTCGAACAGTTTCGAAATATTTAGACAGCATTGAGACAAAGAAAAATCAAAAATATTAAAATCGACAAATCGAAAATTCGCATTAAAATCTAAAATGCTATAGAAACCGAATTTACAAGATTTAAGTTTGATAATCTTGAAGTGTTAAAGTTATTGCGTCAAAACGAATTCTAAGTCTAAAATACAGAAAATAACGCAAAATTTATTTTAAGAATACAATTAAAACTTATCATATAGTTTTGTTTCTACGCATATTTAATTCAAAATGAAACGTACCTGCAAAAACGGCAAGGATGAAGGTGTTCATGGTGTTAGATAAATCCTGTGTTTGATACGACGGCTGAGATTGTTGTTACCTGTAGAGAGAATGACTGTAAACTATGTAGTATATACTTGATGACGTTCTTCTCTTTTATACTTGACCCCGATTGACCTCAGGCCATACGTCAATCATTTTGACTTGTACATTTTTTTAAGTTTTGTATTAAAGGTCAACTTTTTTGTATTTATTTTACATTAAAGATGCCCACAAACAATAGCAATCACCAGTTGCGTATGGTTGCGATTAAGAATAGCGGTTATAGGTTCGAACGCAACTCTCTGATGCATGCAACTAAGACTGAGTTGTGAGTTGCGTTCGGAGCTCATGGCCACTTTCATTATTCGCAACCGTACACGACTGGTGATCGATATGGTGTGAGGGCACCTTTAATCTGGGCGCAGTTCATTGTTTAATTACATTGATTTCTGACAGAACGAGGTATGGAAATCAGGGATGAGTTCAATTTTTAGAATTTTTCGGCAAAGTATACTTGTTAAAAAGCTAGTGTACCCGCACGCTATTTGTGTGTTATGTGTTTGAATTAGTACTGACACGATATATTGGTGAATTCATGTATATGCCACGATACGCGTATCGTATCGCGAGGTCGTGTAGGTTAACGTTCGAGGGGGGCTGGTGGGGAATATCTGAGATTGCCCGAATTTTGTAACCTACTTATATTTTTGCCCGAAAAACTTGCTTTCGGGGCTACGAGGGGATGCGGATAACCCCTTCGCTCCCCTTTAACTCGGGAACTGCTTTTATTTCATAAAAAGTGGGAATTTTTTAAGTTGTTTTATGATATAACAATTTTTTCGCTGACACCACTTCTATCAACTATATTACCAAATATCACAGTTATAAAGTTATAAATTAATATATATAGAAACTATTTATAAGACAGTGAACGCTAACCACTTCTATCAACTATATTACCAAATATCACAGTTATAAAGTTATAAATTAATATATATAGAAACTATTTATAAGACAGTGGACGCTAACCACTTCTATCAACTATATTACCAAATATCACAGTTATAAAGTTATAAATTAATATATATAGAAACTATTTATAAGACAGTGGACGCTAACCACTTCTATCAACTATATTACCAAATATCACAGTTATAAAGTTATAAATTAATATATATAGAAACTATTTATAAGACAGTGGACGCTAACCACTTCTATCAACTATATTACCAAATATCACAGTTATAAAGTTATGAATTAATATATATAGAAACTATTTATAAGACAGTGGACGCTAACCACTTCTATCAACTATATTACCAAATATCACAGTTATAAAGTTATAAATTAATATAATATATAGGAACTTTGAAGATATAATGTTAATTTTTATCTTATTAGCCCATATCGCGATGCGTATTGTATCGTGACCCTTGTATCGCGATGCGTATCGTATCGTGACCCGTGTATCGCGATACGTATCGTATCGCGACCCTTGTATCGCGATACGTATCGTATCGTGGTATGATTGACGATACCCAGCACTAGGATCCCTCTCAGATGCTTCATGAGATCCCTGCGACAAAGACACCCCCACAGAGTTGCCACATTAAAAGGACACACATGCATTTGAAGGATAATAAACCGAGGCTCCGGCGTACGTGGCTATGTAAGTTAAAAATCCCTCGGTAGTTGTTGGAACGAGAAAGAAAGAGTAGACTAATGCTTGAGCTGTCCTGTCAATATTTTCCCCATTTCAAACTGTATAGCGTTCCCCGTCTTCATTCGCTCACACTGTGCAGCAGAGTAGAACGTAAAACTCCATTCATGTCTTTTCATTTCATTTTCCCAGTTAGACTTAACTGATATCAGTTAACGCAAAGGTTAACTTGACATCTACCACATCTGCTAACACTGTCTTAATACTTATCAAATTATTATAAAAATGTCGGTACGGTTTTTATGTAAAAAACCTATTTTTTAGCAGATCTCTTTATTTGTGCACTTTTTCACTCTTGATACCGTCTATCCGAGAGTTAACGAATACAGCACGAATCTATTTCATCCTCACTTCCGGTCAAATCAAAATGGCGACGATGGATGAACCTTTGACACTTGAGAGAGGTATTTTCTATTTTAACACTTTACTTTGCAGTTAATAGACATTTAAACCGACAAAAATTGGCCATAAAAGAGTTCTTTTCTTAATTCATCCCTTTTTATGTGGAATATCTCGGCTTATAAGGCTGATATAGAAATAGGAAGGCGTTTTGCTCTGAAATTGAAATCAACTTGTTCAAGCTGCAACGAACATTTTTTACGAAAAGTTACTTCAGTGACTCAACATATTTATCATTATTCTGCAAAATGTATTTATTATTTTCAGACACACCCGATACTGATACTTACTCTTTGAATGATTGTTGATGTTTATGTTTACGTGTTTATGTTTAAAATTGTCCCTAGATCTCTATCCCTGCTTGAGGCCTGGGCGTCCACGAATATCCAATGAGTGATGTCATTGTAGTTAATCATCTATTTCAGATGTGACAAGAGCTGTAGAACTACTGGATGTTTTGCAAAGAAGTGAGTTTTCTTCAGATGTGTTCTTTTTAAGCATTTTATAGTCTAACACTTAAATTAGCATTCTATTAGGCAGCATTTTAATCTCTGAATTCAATGTTCAAAAATAAAGGCCAGTTGACCATCTTGTCAAACCAAGCTCGCATTTGTTATACATTAATAAAACCGTATCAAATCCTGTATTCGTGATACTATGTCAGTTAGCATGATAAAAATGCACACATGGATATTACCTTGAATGTATTTTCTGCAAGAAAGGCTACTCTTAACATCTATGTTCTCAATTTGAAGTGGAAGCATAAACACAAATGAAGCACATGATTATTTTCCATGAAACCAGACCAAATCATGAATTCTACCTTTGTAACCACATGATCAAGCCTGAAATTTGACATTCGTCCCATTTTAGGTGGTGAGTTCCCAGCGGCTAAACTTCAAGCCTTACAGAAGATTCTCCAGAGTGAATTTCTAACAGCTGTAAGGGAGGTTTATGAGAATGTTTATGAGACTGTAGATATTTCAGGCAGTCCAGAGATCAGAGCTAATGCTACAGCTAAGGTAGGGAGACTTGTCAGTTTATTGGTCAATTTGGGGTAAAGCTACAAGTGCAAAAAAGAGTAGACACTAGGTATTGGTCTGGATATCATAGACTATGACTCATAGGGGTGACCTTATAATTAAATATGGTAACCATAGATAAAAAGCATAGTTGTCAAAATAGTTAACAAATACTGAATCAACACACTTACTCCCTCCAAAAAAGTAGACGAAATAACCCAGTCTTAAAATAATCAATAACTACATTCTTTAATGAAAATATATTTTTAAACGTGCCAAAATGAAGCATGCTATTTCTTTCTCTGCAGCTATACATTGTTTGATATATTTTCCAGGCAACAGTAGCTGCCTTTGCTGCTAGTGAGGGGCATGCTCACCCTAGAGTTGTAGAACTCCCCAAGACAGAGGAGGGGTTGGGATTTAATGTAATGGGGGGTAAAGAACAGAACTCTCCTATCTATATTTCCCGTATTATACCGGACGGGGTGGCTGATAGAGCTAAAACTCTAAAACGTGGTGACCAGCTTCTGTCTGTTGATGGAGTCGTAAGTTTCTTTACATTCTGTTTTAATTTTGCATACCATGGAATTTGATAATGAATACTACCTCTTATAACGGACGTAAAATTTAAAGTTTCAAACTTGGTCAATAAGAGTATATTTATCTGTGGAATTACCTGGTGTCAAACTGTTGTCTCTTTTGCAAACCTTGAATTTTGTAAATGGGTTACAATTAGTAGTGATTCTACAACAAAATGTCACAGTTTCAGTGAAATAGCTAAGAAGGTACCTGTAGCGAGTTAGATTGTCGTCTGCTAGGTGATAAGCTGCCTCAACAGAAAGCTTTTGGCAGATAGATGAATGAATACTTTGGTAATGCATAGGCCCAGATAATATCTTTAGATTTCTCCAATTTCTTCTCCCCTTTATCGGCTTGGAAAAATTACAATTAATAAAATTGACAATTAACCAAGCCCCACTGTGCTACATTCTGTTGTTGCCTGTCTTCATTACCCCAATCAATAATAACAGATTAAAATGAATTGTTATTTGTATATTTGAAAGGATAATAATGATATTGTATATTTGTAGAGTGTAGAGGGAGAGAACCATGAGAGAGCTGTAGAATTGTTAAAACAATCACATGGTAAGTATAGTTACATTGACAGTTGTATGGTAGTTTCAATATTTACTTTACCAGCTGATAGAGCTCAATTTTAGCTATTTATATAGTTATCTTATATGATAGAGCTCTAATTCCACCTTCCAAATTAAACTCCAAGGCTTGTATATATAGTTATGTACTATAATTGAACTCAAACCTTCCAACCTACACTGGTATATTATCTATTTTGAAATCTTGAGTCTAAATTCACTCATCAGAAATGACCCATTGTTAAAACATAACTCAAGATTACCCCTTTCCATTGATCACAAATCTGAAGGTTTTTGATAAATATTTAAGACATCGTTTTAAATAGAATTTCGTTAATCATTAAATTATTGTTATAATTTTGTATCTATGACAGGAATGGTGAGACTGGTAGTTCGTTATACACCAAAAGTTTTGGAAGAAATGGAATCCAGATTCGACAAGCAACGTGCTGCCAGACGCAGGCAGACACCTTAAGTCTGATGGACTAGGCCCCTGAACCCTGTTTCACAAAAAATCTTATAAGATTTGTTACAGTGACAAATGCCATATTTATGATAAAATTAATGGTAAGATTTATTTGTAAAACAGGGCCCCCGTTTCTTTCAAATCCTGCAATCAATTTATTGTTAGTTTCATATTGACACACTTCTTACATATTTTGATACGAATTTTTTGAGAAATGGGGTAAGGGTCTTACGTAGAAACTTAATTAAGATGTATTTTTCATACCTTCTGCTTTAACTATATAATTCTATTGAATAATTCTTAGTGTTTATTGATTGAGTCATAGTTTAAGTTGTTACACCTTTTTAGGGACCAAGCTGGCTTTTGGTATTTTTCCTATCATTATTCAAACCATTACAGCTTGTTTTGAATTATATCTTCATAATGTCAAGCTATTACGAACTATGTATTATACCTTGACTGCAATAGCCACCTTTCTTGTATCATTAGGGTCCTAAGCCATCTTCACAATGTCAAGCTATTACAAACTTCGTCTTCACAGTGTCAAGCTATTACAAACTACATCTTCACAATGTCAAGCTATTACAAACTTTGTACTTATACCTTGACAGCAATTTGACACTTTTCTTGTATCACAGAAGTTTGTAAATGAAGCGATTTGATTGGAGTCGTTTTTGTCAATGTTTCAAAGTAGTTATTGAGTTGCATTTGATTTACATAATTAGACTGGGATTCATAATACAAATACAGCTGTAGCTAATATTAAGCTCCGTTATCAAAAACCAATATCTCCTGGGAACCGAAACCAAGCTTTGTTGTTGATTATCTTATGTAATACTTGTGAGATGTATATATATATATATTTTAAAACCTAATTTAAATAATGATGCTGTAATGTTTAATGTTTTTGTAGTTGGAAACTTCACACCTGCTTATTACATGTTACTTACCTTGAAGGTTTTTTAACAGTCCTCTGATACAGGCTTTTACAATTTCTTCTTTATACTGAATGTTATATCATTAGATCATTTAAACTTTTTATTTACTATAATTATCCATATATTGTTTATATTCTAGAAAATGTATTTGTGCTCTTGATACCATTCACGAGCGGTCTTGGTGGGGGACTTTTGTCGCCAATTAGAGTCTTGTCTATGAGTTTCAACGACTGGCGCAGACACACGAGGAGTCAAAAATCACCAGTCAGTAGTTTTCCCACAATAATCACGTGAGGAGCATGAAAGGAAAATGAATCTGAATCAAAGACAATTATCAAACTTATTTGATATTTTAAATCCTGTCACCGACTCGATAATCTTATCGCGCAAGCACGGGAACACGCGAGATTCTACTCAAGATTCTAGTCGCCGACCAAGACCGCTCATGTGCCCGTACCTTTAAACATTTAAATTGATAACAGTATAATCTTTCCTCTATTAGTTTATCTACTCTATATTATTATAGCTTATTTCATATCAATAAATAACTAATCAACCTAGGTCTTTATAGTCTTGTGCAGCAACACTTGTCTCGAGGGCTTCCAAAGACTGCCCGTTTTACTGAAATATACTGTCGGCGTCTCTTGCCTTTTTGGGAACAGAAAATAAGTACATTGTATGTGAAACGTCAATCCATTATATCATAATCCTTGCAAATTGTTTATCAATATACATTGATTTCCAAATGGTAGAGGGGGCAGGAAACCCTTGTGTCGTCATCCCTTACCCATATTAGATTGCGACCCAACACATCCCCCTCCCTTCTGTCTCAATACTGCTTCCTCAAACCGTCTTCTTCGACGAAATTTGATATTGGCGACTCCTGCCCATTATAGACAGTTTGCGCCCACAACAGCCCTTCCAAAGACTCCTCTCGACATATGGCGCGGGCACACGCGCAGTTCGTATGCCCGCATCTTCAACAGCCCTTCCAAAGACTGTCCTCTCCATTGACATTATTTTGCTGTTGGCGCCCCCTGCCCATATATTTTTATATCAGATGGGGCCATCGTTACTTCACTCCCTCGTCTTAACCCTTCAATAGACTGACCTCTCCATTGAAATTTGTTGTCGGTGTCCCTAGCCTATATATTTATACCAGGGTGTGACTAGAAAGTTGTTGGTCTTTGCATCCGGGATTAAATCTTATTTTATGTTCAGAAATACAGCAAAATAACTTTTAGGGACCGAGTTTTATTAATATCTAAAATTAGACTTGTTAACGGGTTTAGGTTTCGTAGCATCCACATGGATCACGTGGGGGTCCTTTTTGCTTCCTTCAATGGTGAAGCTGTTGGAAGTCACGTGATATTCTCTACCTGCAAATAGGAAAGTAATAAAGTTTTACGTCCTACTCTCGTGTACCTTAAGGGCTAATGAAGACGGACAAAGCGATGCAGTGTGCAATGTGAAATAAAAAGGATTGGAGTTTTACGTCCTACTGTTCTGAAACCAGCAAAAGCTAAATGAGAAATTTAAGTTTTTCATCCTACTGTTTCGAAAAAATGAGGTGTCTCGGTCCGATGGGGGCTTGCATCACTGTAGCTACGATCCTAGTACTGAGAGTGGGTGGCATGGCCCAATGCCCCCCCTAAATACGCGCCTGCATATAACTAAATATTGTTACTGACTGCAGAAAATATATATAATTTTACCTTCGACAGCCCTCTTTTTTCTATCTTCCAGTTTCTCTTTCGAACACGAACTCTGAAAATTAATACACATGCATATATTTCTAGTTTTATCTTCATCACCGATCAACTTTATATTGGTAGGGTTCTCAGGTCGAGGAGAGGGTTCAATTGTTGCTAGTAGCAACGTTGGTAGGCTCAGTACCAGTTTCTTCCAGATGTCACCAGTTACTCCCATAGATATACTAGTAGCAAATTAAACTTTAGTATTCTAAATTTATAGGTGATATTTGGATCTATCTTGCGAGTTGTAAAATGGAATTTAGTTTAACGACTAGCGACTTGCGATCAACTGTCGGCATCCGAGAATCTCGTGAACCTGGACCCAAAATATATTTTATGACGTAGGCTAGCTAACACAAAGGCTGTTAGTGCTGTGATAATGACGTCACATAGGTTAAGCATTTCTATAATTACAGGAAACACAGACGTCTAATTAAAAATTTGGCGCAAATCGATGCTGCCAGTGTCCCAGATACATATACCGATGTAGAAAACCTCTTTACAACAATCAATATAAGAACGATGGAGTTAAAATACACCAAACCCTATACTTACTCCATCACAGCTGCTCTCACACGACACAAATTTACAGGCGTACACTAAAGATGGGTTCCCACGAAGTCGAAATGCTGGGAAGAACGGACTAAACATTTGGCGAGCTTTGGTCGTAAACCCCATTTCTTTTTTAAATACAATTCCATCACCACAACTTCAGATAAAAAAAAAATTTAAAGTCTTGTTTTGTTAAATTAAACACAAGGAGTTTAATCTTATTTTACAACCAAACAACCTGCGACCATTAGTTTTGCACCTACACATTCTGGGACTCTGAAAATAATAATAAACATCTATGGCGCCCTCCAAATAAGAGCTATCTTACTCAGTCGGTACATGTTTATCATTGAGCACGAGCCTTGACTTCCCTTCACAGAAATTTTATTTTAGACCCAAAAAATCCTGGGTCATTCGCCATACCAGCTATGGTGAAAGTCCAACTTTCTTGGCCGGTAAATCACCGAGCATGACCTTCTCCCCAGGACACGCACCGCGGCTCCCCGTGAAAGATTCCAACTCACCCTGCCAGTAAGACCGTATGGTTGTAAACTCCATTACTCGCTGAGCAGGTCAAAGGTCGAATATATTCATCACCTACAGAGAAAAAAAACATATACAACAAACAATTTGATTTAAATTTCAGCCCCTCCCATCTGCACCACTGAGAGTGAGAAACCGCGGAGCAATGCCGAGATTGAACCCTGGACCCTACACTAGAGAGTTGGTGTCAAAGTCACTGAGCCACTGTGGCTCCCTCTATATACTCATAGGAGTTCCTAGTTCAAAAGTTCCCTAATTGGTGGCAGTGGCGGAGCCAGGTTTATCGAAATTGTCCGAATTTCTAACCTAGTTATGAGATTTTTGCGGTGTTTCTGACATCAGACTTCCTGTCTGATCGATGCTCCCTTTAATAATTTAGGGTCTATCCGGCTTCGACTCACTAAATCTGACGAGTACCGAGGTGAAACAAAAGAAATGAAATGGAATTTTCCATCTTGCTTTTCTGCACAGAATGAAACAGATTGAAGACAATGTTTTAGGTAATGATAAATTATATACCGGAAGTGACGTTAGCAACCAATCTAACTGTTGTTCCCAGTGGTACAGGACTGCTGGCTAGGTCACCGTTCGCCTTCTCCAAATACAGAGTAATATCAGCTGTTATCGCTCCTCCTATCTCCTGAATATGTTCATGGAAACCGATGTTGCTGAAACCAGAGTAGAAATCTCGATCTATCCAGTCTTTATGAATCAGATAGTCAGGATCATAATAATTATATCCGATCATACCGAGTTTAAATAATCAGCAATGATTAACACTATTTTATTAAATTCAACTTGTTGATATAAGTGAAGATTCTAGACTATTAATATTGATTATCTGTTTCACTGAATCTCCGAGGTCGAAAAACAAAGGTTCCTGTATCAGAACAATCCGGGACAGATTAAGGATGATGTAGTGGAATTATGGTAGAAGGGACCGAAACGGGTCACAGAATTGTTGAAGGAGGCTCCACAGTACCAGGTAATCAAGAAAAATGGTAAAAAATGAGAGCGGGAAACGCCATTAGGAAGATGACGTCAGAAAAAAATAACTTACTCCGAGGAGATTTCCTTTTCTTCAGACACAGAAGCTCCTTTCTCGTCATAGGTACACGTTACCAAAAAATCATGACGTAATTGACTAATGGCGAACCCCGATTCCTTATCAATTTGAGCTACATACAACATCACTGTATATACATTAGAGTCCACCTTTTTCTATATAAAAAAAAGGGATATATTTATTTTACATGTTCAGCTATCCGCATATTCTTCGACTACAATCTAACGCAATGTATAATGTAAACATTATGGCTAAATGTCGAGGGCTCTGATTGGCTGTATTCGCTGTCGAGGGCTCTGATTGGCTGTATTCGCTGTCGAGAGCTCTGATTGGCTGTATTCGCTGTCGAGAGCTCTGATTGGCTGTATTCGCTGACGTACTATCCAATCAAATAGCTGCATTCCGTTATACAAGAATAATGGCTATTATTTCAGTCAATATAATGAAGATTTCTAACAGGGAACATGAGTTGGGTTTAGACCGTCGTGAGACAGGTTAGTTTTTCAGATTTCTAAGTACCCAATCTGAGTAATGACGTCATTCTGTCCATAATATCTGCAAATGAAATGAAGTTTTAATATCTGAAGTGGTAAATGATACGCCTATAACTTAAAGGGGCGGGTATGCCTTCCATTTGACCAATCGTCCCTTACCCCCCAAAACAGCATTATCCACAATTTTAAGTTAAAAAGAAGACTCGTCTTTTCTTGAAATTTGCCATATAAACTAAAGACACTTCCGTCGTTACAGAGAAAATCATTTCGTTATCTCATCTTACTTCTCTCAATTTGGAAGTTTCAAGGCATGTTTCTGGAATGCTTGCAAAGTCACAAATATTCTCATACTTACATCAAATTGACATGGTTCGTCATCCTCTTTACCAAACGCCACTTCCTGTATGTAATGTACTTTATCGGCTGGTACAGGCTGAGCCACGTGATCATTCCGACAGACGACACGAACGTTAACATCTTGTGATGACGTCACTGTTATTCTCGTGCGCCCGGATAAGGTGGCTGCACAATCAGTTTGAACTATAAATAGATTGGTGAAAGGTCAGAATGTTAAAGAAAGTCATAATCATATAAGTAGACCATGCTTACTCTTTACAAAACACCTGATGGTACTTCTCCTTGGAGGAGTCCAAGACTATACAACTTTTACTCCCGATTTTGCTATTCTTTGGACGAGTTTTTGATGATTGAAAAAGTCGAAACCACCCACCCCCCCCCCCCCCCCCCTCCAAAAAAAAAGAAAAGAATACAGTTAATAACTTACTGTGTAAAATATCGTCATCACCCTGTTTACTGTCACTATAAACATTGAACTCCGACGAGCTGACCTGAAGTATAAATATAATGATACGGGGGTGGAGTTCTCAGCAAGTTCAACACCGCAATGTTTGCTACTAGCGTTCTATTCTTCCATATCGAGGGATCTTAAACCGACACACTCTGAAACACATACATCGTGTCCAAACAACACCACCATTCGTCATACTTCCTCAAAACCCGTATTCGTGATACGATGCAACACATAGGGCCTTAGTTTATCGTCACATTCGATTGACCAGACGTTATTCCATTCCAACTCTGCGACCTGCATAGATACGAGGTATCTCTATGTCGGGATCCAACAAGAACCTTAATATTTTCATATAGCTCAATACAAAACCTGTAGTCGTTTTTCTTAAATAAATTTTCAGAATTTGTTGATAAAAAGGGGTGATATCTTACCAAAGTTACTAAACTGGATGAGGTCAATACCACAAACCACCACTGAAATGGAAAGTATTTTTAGAATAGATAGGCGATGAGTTCAGTAAAATAGCGGAGTTTTACGGTCTACTTTTCTGCATCCAACTGGACTAATGCAGTGTGTAATTAGGCTGCAAGGGCAGCGGAGCAGACAGTAGCACACAGGACCTCAGTTTATTGATCCATCCGATCCACTAGACGTTTTTTTTTCACTTCTGACATGTGTGGGCAAATGAAATTACGGATTATTTTCTATGTGAATTATAAGACGAGCTTCAAAATGGTAATAATTTAATTATTATGTTGACATACATGTATTTATAGAGGAGTTGACACACAGTTGATAATTTTGTACTGAAATTTCATTAAATTCGGACTATTGTATTGTTACACAAATAATTTCACGTTGACAATTTATTTAAGGTAACTTATAAATCGAGAATTAAGTTTTCTATTAACACCAATCTTACTCACCATCTCGAGGCAGTCAATATTTTACCAGATGAACACAGATATTGTGACGAGTCATCAACAGTCAAAACTGCACGTGCATATCGATTGACCCCGATTTAGAAAAGTTCAACTCGAGCCAATAAAAATCAATTCCTATGACAAACTGGTGAAACTCGCCTACTTCCGGTTGAAAGATACCCATTCTTGGTTTGTTACTCACGTATAAATCGACCAATAAAAGAACTGGAATACCATTCGGAATCCGGAATTGAAATTACGACAATCAAAATTAGTTCTTTTTTGTAAACAACCTAGAAGCTGACTGTTTAAGTATGATATTTTGCTGTATTCAAGAAATTCTGCAATGAAATTATTGGATTCCCATAAAATAAGTTATTGGAACATTTGATCGTACAAAATGGGTCACTTTCTTGAGCTTTATTTTATTTTCTCGATATATGGAATTAAAATGATTACTATATCTTAGACAGAAACATCTACCTCTATTCCAGTCTCTGATAGATATTATAACAGTTCGACTGGAGTAGCTAACGAAACATCTGCCTCTATTCCAGTCTCTGATAGATATTATAACAGTTCGACTGGAGTAGCTAACGAAACATCTGCCTCTATTCCAGTCTCTGATAGATATTATAACAGTTCGACTGGAGTAGCTAACGAAACATCTACCTCTATTCCAGTCTCTGATAGATATTATAACAGTTCGACTGGAGTAGCTAACGAAACATCTACCTCTATTCCAGTCTCTGGTAGATATTATAACAGTTCGACTGGAGTAGCTAACGAAACATCTACCTCTATTCCAGTCTCTGGTAGATATTATAACAGTTCGACTGGAGTAGCTAACGAAACATCTACCTCTATTCCAGTCACTGATAGATATTTTGACAGTTCGACTGGAGTAGCTAACGAAACATCTACCTCTATTCCAGTCACTGATAGATATTGTAACAGTTCGACTGGAGTAGCTAACGAAACATCTACCTCTATTCCAGTCTCTGATAGATATTATGACAGTTCGACTGGAGTAGCTAACGAAACATCTACCTCTATTCCAGTCTCTGATAGATATTATGACAGTTCGACTGGAGTAGCTAACCAAACATCTACCTCTATTCCAGTCTCTGATAGATATTATGACAGTTCGACTGGGGTAGCTAACGAAACATCTACCTCTATTCCAGTCTCTGATAGATATTATGACAGTTCGACTGGGGTAGCTAACCAAACATCTACCTCTATTCCAGTCTCTGATAGATATTATGACAGTTCGACTGGAGTAGCTAACGAAACATCTACCTCTATTCCAGTCTCTGATAGATATTATAACAGTTCGACTGGAGTAGCTAACGAAACATCTACCTCTATTCCAGTCTCTGATAGATATTATGACAGTTCGACTGGAGTAGCTAACCAAACATCTACCTCTATCCAGTCTCTGATAGATATTTTGACAGTTCGGCTTGATATTTTGTTCTAGATCAGTACTGGTAGTATGAAACATGTCCGGTCGTCTCAATACTCGAATATTACAAGAAAATCTACAGACTGAGCTCTCGTGTGTAGTCGTAGCTCTTTCAACTTTATTCATACTAGGTAAGGCCCTGTTTCATTTAGTCATATTCCCACCCAGGCCTTGTTTTATTCATTCATATTCCAAACCAGGTCTTGTTTCACTCAGTCATATTCCAAACCAGGTCTTGTTTCATTTAGTCATATTCTATCAGTAATGAAATGAAGAAGTGTTTTACACCCTACTGATATATTTCTAGGTCTACAGATTGGCTACAGTCTACTAGAAGCTGGTATATCTAGAAGTAGAAATGTTTATACCATTATCACAAGAAACACCCTGTTACTCTGTAAGTTATAAAGAGATCAATGGCAAATATCAAGGTTGGATACAATAAGTGGTTCAACTAGATAAGTAGGGACTCGTGGACTTAAGTGGGTTGGTTTTTTTTTGGTTTTTTTTAAAAACAAATTTATGCTCTCCTGTGTTTTATTGAGGGTGTGGGGGCCCTTATAGACGCGGGCCGGTGGATTTGTTTCAGCCAATCTTTATAGTAGTTGAGCCACTAGATACAATATGCCTGTCATCTACTTTCTACTGAACTTTTTTACACTGAACTCTTTTACACATATATTGTACGCTATTTTTTTCAATGAATATCAAGATGGCAAAAACCCATTACCCAATGATTGGATACAATGTGTCAGCAATATTCTTGACACCCACTGAATTTTTTATTAAACTTTTCCACACGTGCAATATTTCTATCAATATTAAGCTGACAGAGCTCAATTTATGCTTTCCAACTTTCAAACTTTATAGAATACAAATCAGTCGGAATAAATGGTGTTTCCCATCCCAGAACAATCAAGTTTAGAAGAGTAGGATGTATAACTCTTTTTCATTTCATTTTTGTTTCTAGTTGAAGTATGTATTCTGTATTGGGTAACTGGACATGCTCTAGCGTTCTCGTCTGGGAATATGGTACTCGGTTATCAAGACTTCTGGTTTGGTATGAGATTAAACAGGGGCGATTACTCTCAGTGGTTATTTGGATTCTGTATGTGTCTAACCAGTACCAATATTATAGCCACGTCATTGGTGGAGAGAGTTCGGTTTGAAATTTTCTTCCTGATTACCTTTATGTCAGTAGGTAAGTAGGAAAGACTCGTTTCTGGTTTTTGCAATTTCAAATTCAATCTGGTCTTGAGTCTTGAGCCCTATAACAACAACAACTGAATTCCGGAGTACAGCTATATATTCTAGTAGTGTTACCAGTTGAAAGCGTATAGATATGGAGCGAGGAGCGGTAGCCTGATTAGAATTCATCTCAAAATAGTTTGAGGTCGTTTTCTGATCGTTTTCTGATCGGTTCCTGGCGGCTCACGTTTTCTTTGTTTTTTTTCTGGTCGGTTTAGTTAGTACGAGCTGAAACAGTATCGAATCTTGTGAACATTTAGTGCTCTTACTAATTTATAGCATGAAGATTCAATGATTCATAGAATTGTTTTGTTTTCAGGATTTGTTCAACCAGTGGTGCTACATTGGATGTGGCACGAGGAAGGCTGGTTAAAAGATTCTACTACCTACGTTTACCAAGTTCGTCCGTACATTATTATATAAGCTACCCCGACCCCTAAGCATGTACCCCTGTCGCTCTTGTCAGTGATGCAGGTCGTAGGGTGACCCAGTTCGAGTGGGACATTAAACAGAAGTTCTATGCATAGTGCATTACATGTTGTTGTCTGTCCTATTTGGGCTATAAGACTATATTCCCGTCATCATTAGCCCAATTAGGTGCTGATTGACCTTTTCTTTTGTATTGATAACCCCGGATCCCAACTTGGGGTGTTTCCATCCCCTGGGGTGAAGGACTACAGTGTCTGGGGTGGTGCAAACTTGTGTAGGAGAAGAGTTTATTTCAAGCTGAGAGTGAGAACATCATCACAAATCTTTAGGTGTGAGGGTTTTAAATGATTGCTTCAGGTGTGTGAACGCTGAAAAGGGTTGGGAACCACTGCTCTGTTCGCTACTTTATACCGATTTTCATTTTCAATCTTCAGGATTTTTCAGGAGTTAGTTGTGTCAATATTTATAGCGGTGTTGTAGGAATCATTGGTTGTATCTTGTTGAAACCTAGAATTAACCGATTCCAGTCTGACCCGTATTCCCGAGCACCGAAACCCTTTCATGGTCACTCGAAACCGGTAGGTTACCGCCCATTGTTTTTCCCAATCTCGGTTTTCAACCTTAGAAGCAAACATGACAAGGGGTACCAGTGAACAGTACAAGGGGTACCAGCAAATATTACAGGCGGTACCGAAATAGCCCAATGGATAATTTCAAATAGTGATATCGACTTTAAGATGAAGTCTTATCCCCAAGAGTTTACTTATGATGAGTGAGGAGTAGTAGGTCCAAACGTCGTCAAGGTAATACCAAGATGTTGGAAACAGTGGTCATTCTGATCACGGTTGAAAATATATAAACGTCACTTCCGGTTTCAACCATACCTCTAATGTCAATATCTATTTTCAGCTGATTTTTATGGGTGGGTATCTGATTCTGTCTGGTTTGTTGGCATTAAGAATATTAGCTGGATATCAATCGGGTTCGGTACAACGTTTCGACGAGGTTGCAGTTGGTTTAATAAATACATTGATAGCTACAAGTGCCTGTGTATTAACAAGTATAGCTATTTTGACCATGTTGAATTACTGTGGTACTTACTGTTGTAAGGTAAGATGATTTTATACAACGTTTCGACGAGTTTACAGTGTTAAAAGGACAGATGTGTCATTTTGGGGTGTTGATTTGAGTCCTGAATACATGTAAATAGTCTTCAGAAATACTAGAAAATACACCAAACTAGGAATTTTACTCACTATTTCTATATATGTCTTTTCTATATACCACAGAGTATCATAAATTGACGAGTCGTCATTTTAACATTCAAACGCAGATAATTCTAGACACACATGGAGTTGAAGGCTCAAATTTCGACGGTGAGCTGTGAACACTATTTCTGATTAGCTCAGCTAAAAAATTCCAGTTTCTGAGACTAAAGTATGATTGGTCAAAAAAATGGCCTACTCGTCCCTTTAACATTGATTGCAACGAGTGCGTCTGAGTTACCTACGGCTGTAAGGCGAGAAGGTCTTGAAACCTTGTGGCTTAGGATCAGCACTATTGACGCCTATCAAAACCAGAAAGTCAGTCTGTTTCACCAAATCAAGCCCATAATGCCAGAATCAGCATCAGTTGTCAGTATTGCTCATTTCTAGTATGTGTATCTAAATTTACTTAATGATTTCGAAATAAATTAATGACTGTCACCTAAATTTTGTGGGCAACTTACCCGGCCTGAATTGTCTTACACAGGTGGAATTTCTACGAATCATTAGTTCCAGAGGCCGAGTAGAGGGCACAGAGTTATTGTCAAGGCGATGCACGACTGTAAGACTTCTGTTAGAGTAGGTTTAATGGGTATACACGTATATAAGTAAATAGGTACAATGTATATTTTCCAGGTTGGAGACAGACATGACTGGTTTCTATTGTTGACAGCAATCAACTCTGCTTTATCTGGTGTGGTAAGTTTGCTAAAGCTGTTACGATATGTCGTTGCTTACCATACTTAATGACGCCATCATAAACCTTGCCCATGCGTCAGCCATATTGAATCCAGAACGAGGCCCATTTAAAAAAAGGTGACTTTGCAATCTTTTGAAGAGATGACATAATTTGCATCTTGAGCCTTGCATTCGATGTTTCCAAAACCAGGCGTGAATAAGATTCATTGTTGTAACTTCATCATTTTACATGAGCCCTTCCTACAATCAAAAGAGTTAGCTCGTGTTTTGCAAGAGGGCTATACTGAAACAGCATCACAACGTCATTAAATTCAACTAAAACTTGGTCACATCGTCATTGAATTTCACCTCTTGTATGCCATTGCCCAAATGTTTAATATTATAAACATGGACATCTTTCAGGTATCGTCTGGTGCCGGATGTGACGTATATTATCCCTGGGCAGCCGGTGTAACAGGTTTTATCTCTGGTTGTGTTTATATTATCTGGTGTTTCTTACTCCGCTCCTGTCAAATTGACGACCCACTAGAAGTCGGTTCAGGTAGGTAAATTATTAATACAATATACCACAGTTTTTGTAGCCTGAAATGGCCTCAGGAGGTCCAGATGGGTGCAAATGAGGCCCAGACGTCGGTGATCTTCACCGCAATGCATTCAGTGATTTATGACAGTACAAACATAATGGTGCTTGAACTATTTTCAAGGTACACCAGTCATGTATTGAACGGCAAATATAATAGGCTTACAACCAAAATGGCAAATTAACAGCCAGGTTGCAGTAACACACATGAGGGTGAACCGCCATGCGAAAATAGAACAAATCTTTGGTTAAACTTAGATAATTTTACTGTTTCATTCATTTCCATTCTCATTTCAGTTCATCTGGGTTCAGGAATATGGAGTTTAATTTCGGCACCATTGTTTAGCACTTCCGGTTTTATCTATAGCCCCGGTACAAACCAATTGATGGTAAGAGATTGTGGAAATACATAGAAAGGCATTCTGGGCATAACACAAAATCAAACGTCGTGTATGAAATTGCAGCATGCTTGTGATCGTCTGGTAAAAAGCCTTATATCAGAAACGTCATAGAGCATCACTGCTGAAACCAAACAAAAAAACAAGATAGAGTTATGCCCCTTTAATCGTTACAAAAATCCCATTTTATAGTCTTTACTATTGTTTACAAATGATAATTGTGTTTAATTGTCGTGGACAATCCATTAATACCCTGAAACTGACGAAATTCCCTGAAGGTTATATCGTTGTTATAAAGTGCCTTGATTTTGTAGGTACTGGCCTGGAATCTAGCTGGTATCGGTGCTATAATGCTATGGACTGGTTTACCATTCATTGTTCTGTTCATCTCTTTACGATTGTGTGGTATATTCCGAGTTTCTCAACATTTAGAAGTACAAGGTGAGTCGTAGCTTTTTAAGCATCAAAATTCACAAGTAAAATGATAATTATTGATGACGGACCAGGATATACTTCTTTTATCATGCTGCTACTGTATGTAAGTTTATATTTCCAAATGTAGCGCGAAACGTGTCGGGTGCATGAAATTACAAAAACGAAATATTTTCACTGTTGAAATTTTAATACTTCAATTGTGGAGCAATATGGAAATGTAGAAATATTAAAACAGAACCTGAAACATGTTGTTTCTAGTAGTCTTTTTTACCTGGATCCAAAGTTTTGCCTTTTTTGTTTTTGTAGGTTTGGATGAGTACCATCAAGAAGTTGCTTACAACATTAAACTTTATAACCATTCCGACCAAATTCAAACAAATACTAAAACTAACGGTAAGAAATAAAACTGTCTCCTTCAAACTTGGATATTTAGGCTAATCCTGTAATTTATAAGTGAAAAAACTCAAAGCTACATTGCAAGAATAACGTATATAGCAGTAGTAACAACCTTTCCCAAGCTCTGTAGGTTTCCTGGATTGTTACATATTGTGTCTATTAAAATGAAAGTCTAAATTCGTGTTATAGGCCTACAGGTTCTAGATTTGAGGTACATAAGCTAAATAGATTATATTTTTTTTTCAGATTTGAGCAGTCTAAATTCATGGCAACAGTATGAAAGTACCCGATCCACCATTAAACACCGTCCATCTTTAAAATCAAATATGGCGAGTACCTTACCTCGGAAATCATCCATCAGACGTCATTCCCACCCTTACGCTATAAAACCTACAGCGCCATCTGGATCAATGCGGGATAACTCTAACTGGAGCTGGCTTGATAGACCGTCGTTACGTCGATCAAGAGAAATATCTGCCTCCTTTGGTAAAGCTGATATTAGAAGATATTCGTCTGCTCGTCGATCATTTGATCATGGAATGAGACTGGCAGCGCCACCTGGATCAACGAGAGATAACTCGAAATGGAATTGGCTTGATCAACCGTCATTGCGTCACTCACGAGAAAGATCTGCCTCTTTTGGGAAAGCTGGAATTTTGAGGTCGTCATCTGGCCGTCGTTCATTTGATCAGGGAATAGCATCGTCTGCTCGCCGTGAATCAATTCACGATTCCTCTAGAAAGATACTGAGTAATCCAGCAACATGGTGGACCGACCCAACTACGGGCAGAAAGTTCTATAGCCAGCGTCCTGTAGAATGGGGTTCTATGCCCAATATAAATCAGAGTTGATAAAAAAAAATACTGGATATATTGTAAGAACTAGTTGATTCATTTCCATGGTTTTATTGGGTTTGTAGCAAAACGCCTCCATGCCATCTGGTTCATGATTTTTTTGTTATCCGGAGAATTCTTGAATGTACCTATTGTACCATTAGGATTTACTTTTCCCCGGATCATCGCCCAACCCACTCCTTCCTCCATTACAATAAGATATGATTTTAAAGAGATTGTAAAGGGTTTGCTAAATTTGCAAGTGTATCAGAGACACTAATATAATCAATTTGCACCATTCCAATTTTCCGTCAGACGTCTTTGTTTCCTGCAATTCCACTAAAAGGATTTGTTTGATGACACCTATCGCAAAGGGTCTTATGTGATAAATCATATATTGCGATGATGTTAATCGAATAATATACGATGATAAGAATGTCTATACGTAAGAAGAGTATTGACATCCTGTTTCACATTACTAATATGACAGGATGATAAGACATGTAACCTTCCGGTATTTACAAATATCATCTTGTTTTATAGGTTCTAGCACTCATAGTTCATTCATATATTATATATATATATATATATATTGTAGAATCCTTAAAGTTATACTACCCCTTAGAATGGATAGAATGATATAATACCTTACGGTTTTTTCAACCCGGTTTCGCCCTGCATGTAAGAGGGGCTGACACGGATAAAACGTCTAGTCGTTCGGATGGAGCTACAGGCTGTGTATGTTAAAGATTCCTCGACAGTTGGAAATTTCCCTCATTGCACCCTGTATGGCGCTGCCCGTCTTCGTTAGTCTACATAGTGCAGAAAAGTAGAACGTAAAACTCAATTCATTTCGTTTAAAAGTCTAATTCTTAGTCAATACGAGTAGATATTCATCAGTTGAACTTACCAAGGTACCATGACTAAAAAATAGAATCTTTATATTAAACGATATATCTATTAAACTAAGTAACTATTGAAAAACGCTTCTAAGCAGCTTTCAAAATTCTTTGTTTAATGAATAATTACTAAGTTTTATGTATTTATTGTATTTTAGAGGGATTCTGTTGTAAAGTTTTGGCACCAGATTCAGTGATTAACAGTCGATTAACTGCCATGTATACAAATGCTATCTACAGCAATGGGAAGAAATTCTTACTTTGAGATATTTTTGAAGGAATTATGCAATTTTCGTACATTTCTAGTACTTCTGAAGACTAATTACATATATTCAAGACTCAAATCAACTCCCCAAAAATGGCGCATCTGCCCCTTTAATATACGACCAATGAGACGATCTGTTCGAACAATGATAGGTCTTGTTGTGATTTCGGAGATTTCTACAAGGAAGTTAATTCACTAGTAAAAACAGGATATCTTTCTGCATCTGACAAGCGATAAAAGGATTTACAAATTGGGTGTCGACAGACTACAGTGTTCTGATTTCCTTTGATTACGTAGGATTCTGTTATTAAAAGCTCTATATTTGTTATTTTGTGCTTATTAAATGAGAATTGATATTTGCGACAGTTCATGTTGATAAGTTGAGACATCTTAGTTTTAAGCTTTGCTGAATTATCAGTTTGTAAATTTAGGATAATGTTTACGTGAGATGCTTTTCAAAAGATCACAGTTAATTTAGGCTCGTCAATTGCGATTTTTTAAATCGAATTTTAATTCTGAAAACTGAGTTCCTTCATGTGGGAAAAATATATCTATATATCTCAATAACTGTGAGATCAAGTATTCAATGTTATTCAATTAGCTCGTGGACCAGAACTAAGACGTTCATAAGCGAGAAGTGATAGCAGGTGATGGTATTAAAAATGGAATTCAAATATCCGATGATAGTAATCGGATTCTATATTCTATGTTTTCAAACAGTCGATTGTCAAACACCCAGTAAGTAATTTTCGTCTTTCGTTGAATTTTATGTGCCATTTCCTGGATATTTCCTTGTTAATTGTGGGATATTGAGTAGTGGTAGTCCGAAACGCCTAACTCTCAGCTAAATATGTTTCACAATCGCTATTAGCTATCAGAGACTGGAATAGAGGTAGATATTTCCGACTAGGGTGTTGGTAGTATAATTATAGTGTTTATGTTGTTGTGTTTGAAGGGGATTGGGTGAAGTTTGTAAGTTCTTGGGTCTTGAATATATATAAATAGTCATCAAAACATCTAATGCTGTACAAATCCTTCAAATAGACCTCAAAAAATAAATTTAACTTTTTATTTACTTTTTTTCAAAAAATGTGTGTATTCGAAAGTTGAACGTCTTGCTGATAATTATAATCTCTGAAACCAAGACATCTTCCGTCCCAGCTGTGCATAAACGACAGGATGATTGGGTCTACTGTATACACATGACGTCATCAACCATTATTCAAAATAAAAAGTCTCTTAAAATGATGAATCGTTAAAATAACTTTCAAACCTAGATAATTCACGTTTCTGAGACCAAAGTATGATTTGCTGCCTGAAAAGCTGCACTTGAATGACACGATCTCGATTAATTCATTCATTCTTGCTTGCAGTCATTCATTCAATTGTTCAATCTAACATTCATTCATCCATGCATCCCGGTATTCATTTAATTTTCCAATATAGGATCCATTTATTTATTCTTTCATTCAATTTTCCACTGATGGCACTTCTCTCTGGAGGAGTCCACTACTATACAACTTTTACTCTCGATTTTTCCATACTTTGGACGAGATTTTGATTAACGGAATTGTTTTGCTTGTACGGATTTTTTATTCCATTCAATTTTTCAATATGACATTCGTTTATTCATCCACCCATTTCCTATTTACAGAATGCAATAATAACCATTATTATAGTACTGGAGGCGACTGTATCCCGTGTGGAAACTGTTTTGAGAAGCCGTGCAGTGTTAAGGAAGGTGTATGTGTTGATGGCTGTAAGAGGGGATTCAATGGCACGAAATGTGATATGGGTGAGTCAAACATTCTTCTAATTAAAGTGTTAGTCCAGTCCATAGCTGTGTGTGCTAGTCCAGTCCATAGCTGTGGGTGCTAGAGTCCAGTCCATAGCTGTGGGTGCTAGAGTCCAGTCCATAGCTGTGGGTGCTAGAGTCCAGTCCATAGCTGTGGGTGCTAGAGTCCAGTACATAGCTGTGGGTGCTAGAGTCCAGTCCATAGCTGTGGGTGCTAGAGTCCAGTCCATAGCTGTGGGTGCTAGAGTCCAGTCCATAGCTGTGTGTGCTAGAGTCCAGTCCATAGCTGTATGTGCTAGAGTCCAGTCCATAGCTGTGGGTGCTAGAGTCCAGTCCATAGCTGTGGGTGCTAGAGTCCAGTCCATAGCTGTGGGTGCTAGAGTCCAGTCCATAGCTGTGGGTGCTAGAGTCCAGTCCATAGCTGTGGGTGCTAGAGTCCAGTCCATAGCTGTATGTGCTAGAGTCCAGTCCATAGCTGTGGGTGCTAGAGTCCAGTCCATAGCTGTATGTGCTAGAGTCCAGTCCATAGCTGTGGGTGCTAGAGTCCAGTCCATAGCTGTGGGTGCTAGAGTCCAGTCCATAGCTGTGGGTGCTAGAGTCCAGTCCATAGCTGTATGTGCTAGAGTCCAGTCCATAGCTGTGGGTGCTAGAGTCCAGTCCATAGCTGTATGTGCTAGAGTCCAGTCCATAGCTGTGGGTGCTAGAGTCCAGTCCATAGCTGTGGGTGCTAGAGTCCAGTCCATAGCTGTGGGTGCTAGAGTCCAGTCCATAGCTGTGGGTGCTAGAGTCCAGTCCATAGCTGTGGGTGCTAGAGTCCAGTCCATAGCTGTGGGTGCTAGAGTCCAGTCCATAGCTGTGTGTGCTAGAGTCCAGTCCATAGCTGTGTGTGCTAGAGTCCAGTCCATAGCTGAGTGTGCTAGAGTCCAGTCCATAGCTGTGTGTGCTAGAGTCCAGTCCATAGCTGTGTGTGCTAGATTCCAGTCCATAGCTGTGTGTGCTAGAGTCCAGTCCAGCTGTGTGTGCTAGTATCGTTTGGGGACGATCTATTCTCTATATAGGTAATCCCAATCTAACTAAGATTAGATTACGATTTCGTATCTTTTCTGTTTTCTGATATTGTTAGTCTTCATTGTAATCTAAATAGTTTTCTACGAGAGTTGTGTCCAAAAGGTGTTATTATTATTAACCAATCAAAGCCAGTCATGTAAAACCTGTTACTTGATCTTTGGGTTTGGATATCCCACAATTCCATAATTTACCTTGACACGGAATTTACATGACATACTTTGATTGGTTAAAATATTAGCATTTGGACGTTCATTTAGTAAAAAAAAAACATTTAGAATAGTAGCCTAAAAATATCAGAAAACAAAGCAAAATTTTGGGCTACGCAGAGGATGTGGGTGGGAGATGTTTTTGGGATTAGAGCATGGTTTGTTTGTCTTCCCTGCTTTCAATCAATGAGTTTTCTGTCAACGGTTGAAAACATTTCAGCCGAAGTCCCCTTTTCAGACACTTTACATGTAGTAATTAATGGATGAGACTTTTCAAAAAATTTATCTTTGGACAGAGGATGTAATGAGTCTAATTGGAATACGCATTAAAATAGCCAGGCTAGAGGAAGTAAAGGTTTAAAGTACACGTCATGATCAATGTAATGGTATGTGAATAAGCCACTCTAGAGGATGTAAAATGTCATACTTAAAATACGTATTAAAATAAGCCAATCTGGAGGAAGTAAATGTTAAAAGTGCATATGATCAATGTTTCTATGTATTTGATGAGGGGGATAAAAGATCTAAAAATTTTTATTACCAGAATGTAAGAAAGGGCGGTATGGGAGGAATTGTGCAAGTGAATGCAATACGAATTGTTTAAATGACGATTGTAACTCCATAACTGGAAACTGTAACGGCTGTAAAATAGGGTTCACTGGACAATTTTGTAATCAAGGTAAGAAGAATTGTTTTCTATATACAATACATTTCATCTTGTATAATATCATCTTCACAATGTCAAGTTATTACAAACTTCATCTTCACAATGTCAAGCTATTACAAACTTCATCTTCACAATGTCAAGCTATTACAAACTACATCTTCACAATGTCAAGCTATTACAAACTACATTTTAACACAATGTCAAGATATTACAAACTTCATTATATAGTAAGAGATGAGATGAAACTTTTAGGAAAATATATCTTTGGACATAAAGTCTTTCTAAGGGCGGGTGGGTAGTCTAATTTGAATACGTATGAAAATAGCCAAGCTAGAAGAAATAAAGATTTAAAGTATATGTCTTGATCAATGTAATGGTATGTGAATAAGCCACTCTAGAGGGTGTAAAATGTCATACTTAAAATACGTATTAAAATAAGCCAATCTGGAGGAAGTAAATGTTAAAAGTGCATATGATCAATGTTTCTATGTATTTGATGAGGGGGATAAAAGATCTAAAATTTTTATTACCAGAATGTAAGAAAGGGCGGTATGGGAGGAATTGTGCAAGTGAATGCAATACGAATTGTTTAAATGACGATTGTAACTCCATAACTGGAAACTGTAACGGCTGTAAAATAGGGTTCACTGGACAATTTTGTAATCAAGGTAAGAAGAAGCTATTACCAACTACATCTTCTTGTATCAGAGCCTTCTGTAATTATTTTTTACAGACTTCTTGTCGAGGGCTCAGATTGGCTGTATTCGCTGGCGTACGATCCAATCAAATCGCTTCCCGTTAAATACTATTGTTCGCTAGTTAACAATCTACTCAAATTGCTTCCATGAAACAAGATACTGGGCCATTGCAGTCAAGGTATAAGAAGACGATGTAATGATCATTGTGAAGATAATGTACGTTCAAGGGTCTTTTTTGTATTTTAGAATGTAGCTCTGGAACTTTTGGCTGGAAATGTGAAAGTCGGTGTACGAGTTGTTTGGATAATGAATGCGACCCTCAAACAGGACATTGTGTCGGATGCCCCAGAGGTTTTATTGGAGAGAAATGTACAATTGGTAAGTGTAACGTAGTTGTCTTGTATGTTAAGTTGGTGAGCCAGAGAAGTCTAGAAAGTTTTAACAACGTTATTTATTAGAGAGAGATATATTGAGTACTTCCGGTACAATGCGCATGCGAGATTCAATAAAGGCAGATAACAAGTAAATACATTGTACATTTAAACAGATATTGTTAGTGTGAGGTGGTTTATGTTTTTTCTTCTACGTTATGGCAAACAAAAGACCAACCGCCATAAGTGGCTTATGGTAATGATTTCATATTAAAGATGGTCGGTGGTTTACTAACTAACTCTGCCAGTAACCGCCCAACCGTCAAAAAATATTTTGATTCCAAATAGTTTTTCATCTCTTGAAGAGAAGCTTTTATGTCTCACAGGCATCCTGCTGGACATTTCGTATGTCAGGTCATTTATTTGTAAATCAGTCAACAATGACGCCACCCCACACCCTCCTTCCTCCTTCCTCCTACACTACACACTTTCCGCCATATTAATATATTTCCACCCTTTCTTACAATTTGAAATATTTATTCCAGAATGTCCAGGTAGTACGTATGGAATGAATTGCAATAATACTTGTTGTCACTGTTCGGGACTACAATGCAATAAAACGACTGGTCAATGTTTGAACGGATGTAGCTTTGGTTATCATGGCGATTATTGTGAATCGGGTAAGTTTGGGCCCTACCGTAGTAAAATAAAAACACTGTAAGAGTTTTGTCACTATATATTCTATTTCTGAATCGAACAGCATTTCTTACATATGAGGTCTCATTATTATTCATTATTCATTATATAACAGAAAACACAAGCGAATATATTTAAGCAATAAACTCGGTGGCGGTAATGGTCGTATATCAGGACAAAGGTTGGCTGGAAAATTGAATAATTATGGTATAACACACTTCTTTAATAACAAAGTACATAACGTTTCAACACAATTTACATGTGTAGTTATCACACTGTTAGGATAGCTGCTTGGATAATGAGTACTATTGATGTGTATTCATGACAGAGTTGGTTTATTATCATACATCATACATAAAGATGAGATGACCTGCCAAGCCGGTGCCTCGAGTTGAAGTGAGACCAGGATACTAAGTTCCGCCTCACGGAGCATGCGTGATGCGGTAGACATGATTGTCAAGAAGTTACACAGCCCTCTTCTTCATTTCATCTCATGACAACACGTGTAAATTGTGTTGAAATGTTATATACTTTGTTATTAAAGAAGTGAGTTATACCATCATATATTCCCTTGTGATTTTGTTATATGTGCTTTCCACTTCTAAATGTCGTTTAAATCTTATTAATTATTATATGACTTGCAATTGATTTAGATCTACTTTGGCCCACATTTGTCTAAAATCTTGCTAAATTAGACATTATGGTTTTATTTCACGTTTCAGAGAACCTGAGTTTCAAACATGGTTTAATGTGTAAGTTTTACCTGGTATCTTTTTTATTTTTTGTTTGTAATATGCATGATAATAAACAACACGTTAACTAAACAGATCATTTATATCTCTGTTTCAAAATCTGGGCTGCAAGTTGCCCGGGGGGTGGGGGATTATATGGATTGTACACTACCAATTACAGGCAATCAGAGCCCTCCACAGACAAACTGTAAACATTATAGCTTATTGTATTCACTAGCGCACAATCCAATCAAATTTCTACTTCTGTGACACCACAAGAAAGGTCGCCATTGTAGTCAAGGTAGAACCATGTCATGGTAAATCTGATAAGATACAGAACAAAAGAACGTGTTGTACATTGCAATTACTTAAAGCAGGGCGTAAAACTCCAAATCATCTCAACGGCTCTCATTATGATTTTAGATGGTTCTGTACCACTTGTTGCTCTGTTGATTTTGGTTGGAATTTTCATATTCTGCTTAATTTGGCGACGAAGATTAAGGTTAGAATTAGACTTTTAGACATTGTCGCGCTCGATTGATGACTTCTGCACGTTCGGGATTCATGAAACCAGCCGGAAATTCATTAAAACAAGTTGGAACAGGGTTCAGAGATGCTCCAAAAAATATTAGGAATTCAAAATGGCGGAGGATTAGATGGGAAATTGAGACCAGGGATCGGGATGAAGGAATAACTTGTTTTGGTCTTTGGGATTTGGACTTAAGTTTTTTCTTGATCCCGGACCCAGAATTAGAACAAACGGAACCTGCCAGCCTTATAACTTTATAACTTTATAACAAGTATATTTATTATATAGCTGTATGTTGTGCTAAACGGCCCTTGTAACTTCATTTCAGGCGCAATTCAGAAGAGTCCATATTAAAATTACAACGTATAGAGCGCCGTCTGGATGGCTACTCTTCTTATCCTATACGAAGAAATGAAGATAAACCAAATGTCGATTTGCCTCTCCCTGATTCACCGAGGTAGGTAGCTATATAGCCCTATGCTCCCCCTCGCAGTCCCGGAGGCATGTTTTTCGAGCAAAAATCTCAAAACAAAACTAGGTTAGAATTCCGCGCAACCTCAGATATCCCCCCCCCCCCCTTTGGTTGTTACCCTGGCTCCGCCACTGGTTGTAAGTATATTAAATAATCAATGTACAAATTTCGTCTTACAGTTGTTTTGAATTGAAATTTCTTTCTATTTATTCCAGTCCACCCGAAAAATTGAGACAATTTGGATCTTTTCTAGTGAAGGAAGACGCCACAGAGGCAGTGAATGACGTCAGAATGGAACCAGAGGGGTCACAGTTACCAGATAATGACGTCACTGACGGGAGAACGTCGGGATACATTGATGTCATAGCTAAACCGGAAGTGATGTCAGATGATGGATATCTTGTGGTGGATCGCCAGCCTGTATCTGAAGAGAACTACGAGAACGTTAATGAACTAGTGGTCAAACTACCAGTGGCTGTTGGTGAAGAAATTTACCAGAACTCTGAGATAATGAACACTGATATTGAACGCCATGAATCGCAACCTCTGTATGAAAATTTTGGTTTCCTGAAATAGCTAACCCAAACTAGTGTTCTATATACGAGACGTTAAAGGTATATGTTCGCCATTTGTTTTATCAATAGAACCAAATTCTACGCTAGAAAGTGAAAAAAAAATAAAGAAAGAGGGGGGGGGGCGATTCCATTACTTCAACTAGACACCACACTCTATTGGCCCCCCTCCCCTCCCCTCCCCCACCCCCTGTAGCTATGCGCCTGTCTTATGTTTTTTATTTACTTTCATTGTATGTAAATATTGTATAAAATCGTGTATATTTTACATTATAACCTTGTTCTATAAGCAAAGGGGAATAACTCCTTTAATAGAAAAAAAATCAACATTGATAAGTTTCTAACAAATTACATTTCTTTATGTGATGTTATAATGAATGTATCCTCAATAAATGGAAATCGAAGAAGAGTCGGCCTTGGTCCCTGTCATGTAAAAATTCCCTTATAGTACACTACACATGGTTGGCTTTCTTCATTTGGGTTGCGACTCAAAATGAAAGTCGTTACACGACGCTTGGCTTCAGAATGCTGCCAAAAGCCCTGTCTCATATGAAAAACGTTCCCAGACCAAAGTGGACCTACCCTATATTTCTTCTGTATTGAAAACCAGACAAATCTTGCCATACCCGTCCCTCGGACGTGAAATACTTCTAAATATCGGTAAGTTTAAGGACAGACATATTGTAGAGTGATATAGAAATACTACTGTTAAAATAGTGCCCAATACATCAATTATAGAGTAATATAGAAATACTACTGTTAAAATAGTGCCCAATACATCAATTGTAGAGCGATATAGAAATACTACTGTTAAAATAGTGTTCAGTACATCAATTGTAGAGTGATATAGAAATACCACTGTTAAAATAGTGTTCAATACATCAATTATAGAGCGATATAGAAATACCACTGTTAAAATAGTGTCCAATACATCAATTATAGAGCGATATAGAAATACCACTGTTAAAATAGTGCCTAATACATCAATTGTAGAGTGATATAGAAATACTACTGTTAAAATAGTGCTCAATACATCAATTATAGAGTGATATAGAAATACCACTGTTAAAATAGTACTCAATACATCAATTGTAGAGCGATATAGAAATACCACTGTTAAAATAGTGCTCAATACATCAATTGTAGAGTGATATAGAAATACCACTGTTAAAATAGTGCTCAATACATCAATTGAAGGGCTATATAGAAATACCACTGTTAAAATAGTGCTCAATACATCAATTGTAGAGTGATATAGAAATACCACTGTTAAAATAGTGCTCAATACATCAATTGAAGGGCTATATAGAAATACCACTGTTAAAATAGTACTCAACACATCAATTGTAGAGCGATATAGAAATACTACTGTTAAAATAGTACTCAATACATCAATTGTAGAGTGATATAGAAATACTACTGTTAAAATAGTACTCTATACATCAATTGTAGAGCGATATAGAAATACTACTGTTAAAATAGTACTCTATACATCAATTGTAGAGCGATATAGAAATACTACTGTTAAAATAGTACTCAATACATCAATTGTAGAGTGATATAGAAATACTACTGTTAAAATAGTGCTCAATACATCAATTGTAGAGCGATATAGAAATACTACTGTTAAAATAGTGTTCAATACATCAATTGTAGAGCGATATAGAAATACTACTGTTAAAATAGTACTCAATACATCAATTGCAGAGCGATATAGAAATACTACTGTTAAAATAGTACTCTATACATCAATTGTAGAGCGATATAGAAATACTACTGTTAAAATAGTACTCTATACATCAATTGTAGAGCGATATAGAAATACTACTGTTAAAATAGTACTCTATACATCAATTGTAGAGCGATATAGAAATACTACTGTTAAAATAGTACTCAATACATCAATTGTAGAGCGATATAGAAATACTACTGTTTAAAATAGTACTCAATACAACAATTGTAGAGTGATATAGAAATACCACTGTTAAAATAGTGCTCAATACATCAATTGTAGAGCGATATAGAAATACCACTTTTAAAATAGTACTCAATACAACAATTGTAGAGTGATATAGAAATACCACTGTTAAAATAGTGCTCAATACATCAATTGTAGAGTGATATAGAAATACCACTGTTAAAATAGTGCTCAATACATCAATTGTAGAGTGATATAGAAATACCACTGTTAAAATAGTGCTCAATACATCAATTGTAGAGCGATATAGAAATACCACTTTTAAAATAGTACTCAATACAACAATTGTAGAGTGATATAGAAATACTACTGTTAAAATAGTGCTCAATACAACTCGAATAACAACATGATTCAAGTTCTGTTTTAATATTTTTATTTGGTATACTATATTGGTATAAGTAAAAGGTTATCATTTAGTCAAACAGAAGCTCAAAATTCCCCAATCACCAGGTAAAGATAAAAGGGGCTGAATGACATTAGAAAATAACACTCTGCTGAATTCATTATCTTAGACCACATCATCTCGAGGAATTCGTGAGTGGTTTTTGTACAACGCGTTTTAAGATAACGACTTTTTCTCAATTTATAAATAAGTCAATGTTGTTTCCAGCTTCAGATAGGTTTCCTTATTTTTTAATGTCAAATTTAAGCAAACTATTTGATTAATTGGTGTTTCTAATGAATTATCATGTATTCTTAATCATATCATTATGTTCTTATTGCATATCATTAAAAGTTTTAACCAATCATAAATGCTCATGTATGTACAGTCTGGAAAAACAAAAAAATATTTTTTGACCTTTCTTGATTGGTAACGCATTGGAATTCTGCTGATAATTCTCTTCTAATTTAGCTAATTATGAATTAATTATGGACATATGAGACAAACTGGAATTTTTCCAAGGCATTAGAACACCTCCACTTTCTATTCATATAAGTGTTAGCATTTTGATTTATATAAATGAAAATAAGGGAACCCGTCGTTAAAGATGAAATAACAAAGTAGTAAATATATTTTATCAGTTGATAGAAAAATCTGATTCTGAACACAGATGGTACCAAGAACACTCTGCTAGCTAGTTATTACAAGATTTATTGTAATGCAATGTTCATCTGAAGTTTTGTTTTCTGTTGTCACACTTGTCAACCATGGACAGCAATTGGAATAAAAGGCAAAAAAAACCTATCAAATAAATTCAGATTACATTTTATCAAGTGAAAGTATCATCAAATGATTCATTGGTAGTGGTAGTTTGACCACTAGGTCATTAACGTTCTCATAGTTCTCTTCAGATACAGGCTGGCGATCCACCACAATATATCCATCATCTGACATCACTTCCGGTTTAGCTATGACATCAATGTATCCCGACGTTCTCCCGTCAGTGACGTCATCATCTGGTGGTCTCATTGTATTTATAACACATGTGAAAGAGGAAAAAGAGTTTATATCAAGGCTTTACCAGTCAGAGATTAGAGATCGAAGTGTGAGGCTAGGTTTTATCATCTGGAAAGCCGCTCTAGATGACCCGCTAAAACCTCTGTATTTATACAAGATTTGGTATAATGGATAATAATCTAGGACAATACAGTCTACTTCAGTTCCTCAAACATCGTCTGGATAACACATTCTTTTAAACTAGCCGCTTACCAACCTCCTACAATTTATACCTTTTCCTGTCTTTGGTGGTATCAGTTAAGCGGATGTAAGTTTGCAAGCTATGCATTATAATTATTGATATAATATAAAAAATGATTTATCAGAGAGTTATGACTTGTCGATCCTTACAATCTTAAAAACTGTAACATTCTCGTCTGCTCGGGGGTGTCCCCAGTCTCACTCAATGTTTCCAAGAGTTTTTTGCTGTAAAATCATAAAAACTGCCACTGGTCAGGTACCCAAAATGACCCTATGAATCTCTCGATCTGGTTTGTACGTGTAAAATTATTTACAACAAATCTTAAAAACCCTTTCTTACCCTCCATTTTAAAGAGAATGGTGTCAGTGCCAGTGACTTTTGAGAGTCCACAACAAAAGGAATTGGGGCGATGATAAGTGTGATTGCTCTAAGTCAATATATTATAAAGTTCTATTTAGAAACTCAAACAAGATTCGATAAAAACTTCACCGTGAAACATTTCATTAAAACCTCTTATCTAAAATACACAAATCTTAATATCTATCACGTGACACAATCCCACCAATCAAATACAACTGACAACCTCCTTCAACCTGTCTGTCAGCCATAATGATCACGTGATGTCCATCAACCAATAAGAAACGAGGTATGATAAAGTTTTGTTTGCATTAATATTACAGGTAAAAAGACGAAATAAAACAATGAATATAATATCAATAATTTGTGTTACGGTATGATACTTGATATTGTCGGTAAGATCAAAGGATTTAACTGTGGTATAACAATGGGATAAGGTGACCACCGTTTTCTTAACATCTATAGTTATCTACTAACAAAACACCTATTTCTACTGCTTACAGAATTCCTGACAACTTTTCTAAAAGTGATCCGTATTTATGTCCGAGATTTTACTGTTTTTACTTCTCAATGGATTCGATTTCCAAAATTTCCAGGATAAGATGATTATATGATCGAATAGTTTCCAAAATTAACATAATTCCAGATTTGCGGGATTTACATCGTTGATTGCGAGAAATAATTCTAAAAACAGTGCCCGGATTCCAAAGTTTTCATATTTCTATAAGATGCCTTAACAAGTTCCGGGGTGAACTTCGAGAACAACGGATTATTGTATTTTTAGAAATTATTTTTGTGACAACCAGATGATACCAAAATATTCCTGAATACAGAACGATAAGTGTCTTACAGCCGGATACCACTCTGTAACTGTGCAATTCAACTATGTATTTATTTGGAAAGTCGAAATACATTTAGTGGTTTTGTTTTGGTAGATTAAAAAAATGATGATGTGAATTCGTATTTCTCTTGGAAATATTTCATTGGAGTTGATATCAGAATGTCAAATATTCATCAAATAATTCTGAA